AAATTAAAAAACAAAACCACGCCAAATTAAAACGAGGCCTTGTGAATTCCTTTACCCTTTAAATGCAACTATATATATATATATATATTAATAGTCCCCAAACTACAGTTCCGTCGACTCGGAATTGACGCCAAAACCACGCCAACTTAAAACAACAACGAACGTATAATAAAATAACGACGTTACGGCCGCAGCAAGTGCACTAAATTATGGATAGTGTTGTCAATGCGCTTGTACGGGTCACCAAGACAGGTTTGGATTTTCCCGGCAAAATCCAACGCCGCTTCCGTGGGCGTCAAGTCTATATATATTCCAATCAAATGAGCTAAATCTCATACATACGGATGTGTAAGTACCCATGACAAGGGCCTCCACCACGAAATAAATATCGTGCACGTCTTGCAGCTCGAGCATGTTGGCCGGCACCATGAGCGTTAGCCACGTCGAAATCAAATGCACGTGCTGGCGAAGCTGGTTCAATGCCCGACCACACAATGCCACAAACGTCGCGAAAAACGGAGACTCGGTGCCGCCGAGGGCAAATGCCATCTCTTTTGTAAACACAAACGACGTTTGGTCGCGCTTAAAGTTCATCTACAAAAAAAATCCAATCTCAATCCCCCAACCTTTCCAACAAATAACTAGACCGACACAACGTACGTGGTACTTGCAGTGGCCAAGAAAGTGCCCAAAGTCAATGTGAAAGTACTGGCCTCGTCGCGTCATCTACTCATCCAATGTACATAGTTAGTTGTCTTCAACTAACGAGTACTAGTAAAGAGGACACGATCGCGACTAGACCTACCATGATGTTGTCGTTGTGCCGGTCGCCAATGCCCAGCACGTGCGTGGCCACGCAGTACCCCGCCGCAGACCGTCGAAACAGATCCAGCGCCTGCATGTAATGTTTGGGCGACGACGCGTTTTGGGTTTCGAGCCATTTGGCAAATCGCATGTCCTGCATGGGACCCAAGACCCCGCCTTCCTTGTGAATCGCCGCCGTCGTGATGGCATCACCGACGACTTCCACCACGCCGCTCGACGGGGACGTGGCCACACACTCGTACAATTGCAGCTGCACGGGGATATTCGCATCACGCCACAGCTGCTGCATGAGCCCAAACAGCTGCAGCGTCACCATGTCTTGGCGAACGTCGTCGCCGGCTTTGAAAATCACGCGCACTTTGGTGCGAGAGGCCGTCTCGAGTGTTAGCCACAGCGGCCGTTTGGGCGACTTGAGCACTCGACACTCGGACGAGATAAACTCGACCAACGTGCACTTGGAGTGCAGGGGCAGCGATAGCCGGCCAGCAAACGACACGTTCAACGCACACAGTCGTGCCCGCAATTGACTGTCCAATGACGACGTTGCCGCGGCCGTCTGCATGTCGCGCGCAATGCGGTGAAGGTGCTGGCACAAATCCAGTTGGTTGTGAAGCATCCGACGCATGGATCGACCTGCTGCCTACAAAAAACAATTGTGAATATATATATATATTTATATATATATCAATCGTGAATATATATATATATATATATATCGATCGTGAATATATATCTATATATCGATCGTGAATATATATATATATATATATATCAATCGTGAATATATATATATATAGTGTGCACAGAGACAGCATACTGGGGCTAGTTGTACATAGTAGTTAGTGTAACGTTAGGGGGGAAGTCGTACCATCAAATATGCTTGAACCAGCAGTTGAAAGCGCTGGGTATAATGCGGTACAAACGATTCCACGTGTAACGCCCAAAACAACGGCACCCCCAGCAACATGGGCGCGCCGTCCACCGCGCGATGAACCACCCACGACACCAACCGACTGGCAGCATATGGCTCCCACTTCATGCATTGCACTATTCAAATAATCATCAAGTCGATATATTCGAAATTAGAGTTGGGCACTCCATCGAACGAGCAAAATAACAACCACATCGGCACACAAGCGATATACGACCAATCAAAACGCACAACAGGAATCCAGTGGCCAATCAAATCATCCACTCAAAGACCATTTCAACATTGAATTAGTGTGTGAATGAAATTCGTACGAGTTTTACATACAAATGTCAAAGAATCGATCAACGGATTTGGCGAATTAGCCGCCCAAAAGTGCAAGGGTAAAAGAAAGACAATACATTCAAACGCTCATAGGATGACAATCAAACGTACCGAGCTGTGGCAGCACCGTCGCGAGCATGTCATCGTCGAGCGCAGAGTCCAACTTGTCAATAGCAAACTCGCGTACGATTCTCAAATGCGCCAGTGGACGGCCGAGCAAGCTCAGGTACTCGGTGGGGTGCGCCGGCGGCAACGTCGTGTCCAATAGACTCACCAGTTCGTCGTGGTACATTGGCTGCCTCCACTCGCGACACGTGAGCAACCGAGGCAGCAACGCAAATGTCTTGGGCAACGACTGGCGAAACTGCCACAGCAACGAGCGCTGGTACGAACTGAGCGCAAACAACGGGTCCTGGGCCATGCGTTCCAGCAGCCACTGCAGCCAATGGTGGTTCGTGATGATGCTCGAGACGTGGTCGTCGGCGGACGTGGTCGTGTCGTCGCTCAAGCTCGTACCTCGAAAGCTCCAGTCGATGCTCTTGCGGGCAGCCACCGATGACGTGGCCACGCGAAGGGTGTGCAGCCAGTCGTCCCGGCCATTTCGAGTCGCCACGCCCAGCACGAGCGTCGTGGCCGCGTCCACGTCGATGGTAAAGGCGTGGGTTGTGTGCACCTTTTGCGTAGATTTCGACCCGGCGTTGCTCGAGCGGCGGCTCGTGGCGTTCAGCTTGTCGGTCACGTGGAAGCTGGTAGCGTCCGTGAGCGAAAACGACATGAGCTTCGTCGTGCCAGCGCCTGGATCGGTATGGTCCACTGGACGGAGAACGATGTGGCCGTGGCTCGTTAACACGCACCACTTGGACACCCAATGCGACCACAGCTTGCCACTGCCCAGGCGGCCGCCGCCGCCGCCGCTACTGCTTTGCAGCACATGTACCAACCCTTGCTTCATGATTGTAGAGTCGCTCAGAGCTGCGAGTTGCTGGCTTGGTCGACGGGTAAAGTCCAAGTCTTGCCACTGAAATTCCATCTAGTAGTGTGATCATATACGACGACGACGTCAAATGCAAACGATTCGTAAAAACACACGTACGTGAACGAATGGAGCTCCGTGCACGACTCCCAGCGGGAGCGGCCCATGCAGCAGGTCGGCGGTCGAGTCCAGCAGTTGGAGATGTGTATGGCCATCGACGACATCTCCATCCACGTGTCGTAGCTGCATGCCCGTGGTCGCCAACTTGGTCCAAGTCGTACTGGCATCATCGTTGCCTACCGTAGATGGGAGGTGTTGAACCTGTCATAATGTGTGACGAAGTAATGCAGTCAACAAGATATGTACCGTACCTTGCCCATCCTCTTCAGGCTGATTCGTCACGGCAAAGACAGTGCACATGAGCCGCCACGACGAAGTCAACGAGGCAGCAGGAACGTTCCAAAGGGTGTACCATACGTTGTCCAGGTGTCGACTGTTGTCTGGCATGAGGAGGAACGGAGCAGTGTCCACGGCGCAGTGCACATGCGATCCTTCCACGACTTCCAACCGAAGCACGCATGCTGTGCTGTCCAATCGCTCTGTGAGATGTCGATGGCCTCCCTTGACGTCGACGACATGTTGAAAGACGTGGCAGATCTTGTGGAAGCGTACATTCAACGCATTGCACATTGACCGCGATGACGTGGAGATTTGTGGCGCGGGATACGACACTGCTGTGAGCTGCAGCGACTTCCCTGGCGGCGCAAAGTCCTCCAAACAAGCCGACGGGTCTGTCCAGTACTGACTTGTGCCGTTCACGTGAATGCAAAACTTGTCCTCATCCAGCCCCACGTGTGCCATGCACTCGGCGACACTCCAATCTGTTCGCAGCGTCGTGTCGACCGTCGGGACATCGTCATGCGCCTGCAAGGGAAATAAGTGTAACAAACGATTGAAGTTGATGGACACCACCTACCTTGATCTGCAACGTTCCGTCGTAGCCGAGGGGGCGTGCATGGCGCAAGAGCGCTTTCCACCTGGTATATTCGCGTTCGTCTGCGAGGGCAACGAGGATATACGTACTTGCTGTGACTACGAGGAGACTGTGGGGTTCCAGACATGACGGTTCAACCGCAGTGACGTCGTCAAGGTGCAGCAACACTTGCATTGACGTCGGGTGTTTGCCCAGGTACAGGACCTGTCCGTGCATTTCGAGGAACTGTCGCTTGAGTTTGAATTTGTGATTGCGTTGGGTGTGCATGTCGACGAGGACGGGTGACCGCCACGTGATGGGTTGGTTGTGCTGAGGGGAGGTCGTCGTCGACGCATGGACGTGAGCCCGCACGGTCGTGGGGATGTCGCAGGGGGAGAGGGTGGACGTGATGCAGTCCAACTGATTGTCCGTCCCTCGCACCGCACGATGCAGTGCCGTCACTTCCGGCACGAGCATACCGTAGTTCCACATCATGTCGCCGCGCGGTTTTGTGATGGGTCTCGAAATCGAAAAATGCCGAATTGCAGGTCCAACAATACAAAAAGCGCGAAACAAGATACTTAATTAGCGGCAGCGGTTTCATCGAGTATACAAATCCCAAGTGTATTTTTACGCAGGTCGCATATTTCACCTTTTGACAGAACATGACGTGGTCCCGCATTCTCGACCAAGGCCATTTCGTCGATCTATGGAAAGCCGCGATCGTCACGGACGCCATCTACATACGAGTGCGTGTCCCGCCGCCGTCGAATCTCCATACCAACCTACTGGCGTCGGGTGACCCGGGCCACAGGTTGGTTAATGCAGGTTTTTTTACTCGTCCACGAGACGCCCCGATAACTTCAGCATATACGGTGCTTCACATCCCAAGCGAATCTGGACATGTGTCGTGTCACACGACAGGTTCAAGGTTTAGAACGTCAGGATACATACTGTTTGAAGTTGGGGGGCCGACGAAGTCAACAACGGGTGATGCACGACATCAGCCATGCTTTATGCTGATAAATTCGTGTGAAGATGCATTCGACCGCACGACGTCAACATCCACTCCATGCACTTGAATTGAAGCGCCTTGGAGTACGAAAGTACTTGTGTACTCCAGAGTATGTACCGGTAAAGTACTAGTAACATACAGTTTTTTGCATTACTACGGACCACTTCGAAGTACGGTGACTGACTTAATCGAACGAGAATCTAAATGTTGAAGGCTGATTGGCCAATATTAATTATTTTAGCAAATCAAACCAACTGTGTTGACAAAGATGATTCTGATTGGTAAGGTATTCAAATGAACTTCGGTGTGGCTGACAGTAAATTCCCTCGTACTTCGAAGTAGACTTTGGGGTGGTACTACCATTATTAATAATATAGTAGTATGGTATAATAATAATACTAGTACCAGTATTGTTCCACGATGGTTTTAATGACGTATCGCTTTTTAAACAACGTTTTATAGTTGATCCTTGTCTATGGAAAAATGCACAGGCTGGCAGCACCACTACGGACGTTGAAACACCTGTTGCTCTCACACTTACCGGTAGTACAGCGCTTGCTAACGTTAGGTACATACAGTATACTACAGTAGTAATACTGTTGTCCAAAGTTTTCAGTTCACTGTCAGTACATTTAACGCGTTTTATTCCAAGTAATTATCTGGAGCATACCAGTGGTGATAACTGTTGTCGGTTACGGATATCACCTTCGACAGTGTGCCGAGTGCAAATCCCAGTGCTGTCTGAACCTAAGCGTTACTTGTATACGTATAGTACCGACCACACTAGTACAAACGGCGTCAGTCCCTCGGCACCCCCATCGAGTGCATCTGTACCTGGCCTCAAGCAATTCTACGGCGCCACCGTCCCCAATGTTAAGAGCCCTGCCACTGTCGGTTAGCCATTATTGTGGCTCGTCATGGTGCTGTTAAATGTGGATGGACGCTGTCTACCAATCTAGTATCTGCTGGACCCCATTCGAAATACTTGCTGAGCCAGGAATTGCACGACATACGCCCGATGGCTACTAGCCGATGACCTCTCATTCAATCGTACCCCCAGAATTCCGTATATCATCTCAACTGTTGCCACGTCGATGGTTGAGACATCCGCTTAAACTTCTATAGCCAGTGCACGTACTAGTACATGGTATGAAAAAAGTGAGCCCTTCAAGCTGGAGGTCAGGTCGTGGTTCCTGCAATTCTCCCGGTCAACGCTTAGTATCGGAGTGAGCCAAACTCAACTCTTAACAGTAAGGTTTCAACATATTGCGTAGCTAAACTCAATGGGAGTGTCTTCGTCGACCAATACAGCAAACTGTGCGGAGACCGTCGTCGTAATAAAGTTGGAGTTGTACAGTAATGATGACTGGTTAGATTTCCTGATACCGTATGTACGCAGGCTTCTCATATTTCCACTTGTCGACTCGTCGACAGGGGGACTGATCCGATTGGCTGGGCCAACAGCATAACTCACCAATCATAAGCTGCCATTGCTGCGAATTGACGACCGTTTACAGTTGCCGTGACGTGGCAATTATTGTATGGAATCACAATGAACTTGATATCTACGAATCTTACAACATGGATGACAATGTGGGCAGTGATGGTGTCGACACTTGGCAGTGAAGGCCACTTGCTCAACATCTCAATCGCTGCAGTGTCACACAATCCACTAGCTTGCGATCTTGTATTTACAAACGAACTGTCCAGAACTTCATCGCACTGTAACGTTACCCACAGTTATGCTTGGCTACTGCATTGATACAGACTGTACATATTGCTCTTCATGCAGACAACCCTTTGCGTGGTACTCGGAGTAACACCCTTGCTTGGTGTACAATCAAACAACTCTTACATTGCTACGCATGATCACTTCTCTTTCTTTCTCGGTAGGCGCGTGTACTAGTATATTTTTTGCCTTCTCGACCTGGTTGCTAGAATTCATATGGCTTGGATATTGTACATGTGGAAGACCAAATGAAAACACGACATGACACACAATTCACTTTTGAGTTACCCTGGAACCATGGACTACAGTACGTTGGGGCTATCGATGCTTGATTATGTGGAGGGCATTGTCAATGCGCTTGAAAGTGTTGTTCATGCACTCGACGATCAGCCCGGCAAACCACGCTGATGCCTCTTGGTCAGTTCGCTCGGTGGCCGACACTTCGACGAGGTAGCTGATGTCATGGCGTGTTCGCAGCTCTGGCATGTCGGCGGGAATCATGAGCAGCAGCAGCGACACCAGCAGATGCAAGTGCCGTCGCACCACGTTGAACGCGTCGCCACAGGTGGTTTGAAAGCGCTTAAACTCGTCCGTGCCCACGCCTCCAAACACGTGAGCCATTTCCGGCGTAAACACAAACGGGGTTTGTTCGCGCTTGATGCCGTACTATACACAATACAACATTCCCAACGTCATCGCAGGTTGAAAACTATTGTCCAAATGTCATAGCTACGTTGTTGGCTAGCCAACCAGCAGGCATTCATGAAATTGAGTACTCTGTGTGTGTAACGTTACCTGATACTTCATAAAACCTAAAAAGTGACCAAAGTCAATGTGGAAGTACCGGCCTTGCTTGGTGATCTACAAACGTGTTATCCTGTGTCGGAAAATAAAAACCAGTCACAGTGTCACAGCAGATTTGGAAATGCGTACCATGATGTTGTCGTTGTGGCGGTCGCCAATGCCCAGCACATACGTGGCCACACAATACCCAGCACACGAGCGTAGAAACAAATTCACGGCCGTCTTGTAACTCCGCGGGTCGCCGTTGTTGGCTGCGATCCAGTCGGAAAAGCTCACGTCGTTGAACGCGCCAAAGATACCCCCCAGCGCACCCCCTCGCTTGTGGACCGCGGCAGTTGTGACGGCATGCAGCACCACTTGCAACATGCCCGTCATGGGCCCCGTCGACACGCACTTGTATGGCTCCATGGCGAGGTCCTTGCCGTCTTCTCGCCACATTTCGTCCATGAGCGTGATCAACTGCAGCGTCAAGCAGTCTTGGCGGACGTCGTCGCCGGCTTTGAAGATGATCACGACGGGGTCACCGCCCTCTTCGGCGTTTTCAAACTCGAGCCACAGCGGCAATTTGGCCGAGCTCATGATTTTGCACTTGCGGACGACGATTTTCCCGACTTCGACACGCGGGTCGAGCGGCAGCTGGTACGACAACGGCAATGTTTCGTTGAGGGTCGTCAAGCGTTCCCGCAGCGCCGCCACCATCTCGTCCTTGGTCTTGCCTGCGTGGGCCAGCGCCTTGACGTGTTGGCAGATGCGTTCAAACTCGCCTTTTTCCGCAAACAACTTGTCCTGGAGCTCAAGGATGCCGCGCATTTTCAGCGAACACACGTCCGTGTAGGCGTTGAGGAGCAGGCCGTAGCGCTCTTGGTACTGGTCGTTGTACGACTCGACCTTCATGGCCCAGAAGAGGTCAAACCCGATTTGGTTGGGGTTTTCAATCGCCCGTTGGATCAACAGCTTGGCCAGATGGGACACGTGATGGTTCTCGTACTTGAGCGCTTGCACGAGTTGTGGCAGGAAGCAGCGAAAGGTTGAGTCGGCCATTTCCCCCAGCCGAGTGACTGCAAAGTGACGCACGCCTTCGTGGGCAAACTGCATGTCCAACAGCAAAATGTACGCCGCCGGGTGTTGCGGTTTGGCCCACTGGGGCAGCAACGCCAGCATGTCGGCGACTTCGACCGCATTCTGCCAGTTGACACACTCGAGTACATGTCGTAGCGCTTCAAACGAATCGACAAACAGCAGACGGTGGCGCCACAGCAGCGTTTGCTGAAAGTCGCTTAGCTGAAACAGAGGATCCCGCATCAAGAGGGACCGAAGGTCGGCCACAGACTCGGCGGTCCCGTCGATGCCGGGGTTGGCCACGACCTTGATTGCCAGCATCCACTCGTCGCGTTCCTGCCGCGTGGCGGCGCACAATATATACTCCCGCGAGGTTTCGTTGGACTGGACCTTGAACACCCACGTGCGCTGCTCCTTTCGAGTGCATTTGCTTACAGCGAACGTCGTGTACGTCTCGTTGAGCTCGTCGGCCGTCGTGACAGTCGCCCCCTGCGCGAGGTCGATCGCGCCTTTGTGTCGCATGTTCGGACCATCGCCATAGTACAACGCCCCGTATACTTGACTTAGCACACACCACCGAGGCTGCCAGTTCGTGAGCGAGTGAAACTTGCCCGTCTTTTTCAGCCACCCTTCCTTGGTCACAGAGTCCGCGCGGCGCGCTTTGAGGGCTATTTTGGGCGGGGATGGCGATGACGACGACGGCGTTATGTACGGTTGCACGACGAGGGGCGGGGGCTCATGCGGGAGCTGGAGTTGCTCGCACCAGTCAAACACTACCACAGAGTTGTTGTTGTTGCTGCTGCTTGAGTTGCTCTGCAACTCGAGGTGGACAAACGGACGTTCTGGCGCCACGACATGGGGCACGGGACCGTATCTGGCATGGTGCAAGTTGTCCCACATCTGAATGTACTGCTCGCCTTGGACGTACACGCCGTCGATGTTGAACAAGTTGTATCCGGTGGTGAGAAGTACACATCCCCGGTCGAGTTGCCGCGGGCCGCCGCTGCACACTGTCAGCACTACGCGGGTCGATCGCGGTGCATTACACAGCCGCAGGGTACTCTCTAGCCACGAGGATAGTGCCGGGTCCGTCGTCGAGTTGGGGCCCCACTGTGCCACCAACAAGTTCGTTCCCCCTGGTATCGCCCGCAGTGGCACCTCCGCAGTCTCCCCCACCACTTCCAGCAGCTGACCGCCGTCGTACAGCTCCACCCGCACAAATACAGACACACACGTCAGCGGCTTTCGCTCCACCGCCCCCGCGTCGTGCGCACTTCGTTTTAGCGCACACGTGAACCGGGGAATGTTGACAACACGACGAAATTGCAGCCGGACTGCCGACGACGTGCCGATTTGACCGCTGGCCACCACTTCCCCTCGACTACTCCCTCCAGTAGTACTACTAGACGTTGCGGCCCCCGCTTGCTGAGGCGGCTGGCATTTCCAGTCTGCGCCCAGCGTCGTGATCGCCATGGACGTATCGTGTGGCGGACTGATGGCGTGCAGAAACGCAGCAGCCGCAAAAAGTGATGGCGACATGGTGGCAACTTGGTTGATATGTGAGATATGTACCAGCGTCAACCCCAACGTCTTGCGCGTGAGAAAACACTCTGCTACGTGCTGGTATCGGCCGATTTCTTGGAGGGGATCCAACATGTAGTCTCGAAAGCCAGTAAACTTAAGCACATAGTCCTTTGGGTCGTGGGGGTGCAGGGGGGTGGCGTCGAGCATGTTGTGGTAGCACTTGAAGACGTTGGCGACCGTGGCTTCGACTGTGTGGGACGGCAGCAGCACCATACGCACCTCGTTTGGCCCAGATGCGCTCACTTCTGCCAACTGCAGCATGCGACGAAACACAATGTTCACCGAGTGGAACGGCACTGAATTGCACAAACAGTTGACCCACATGTCATAGTCGGCCTCGGATTCGGCTTGCAGCGTCCACGTCCGGTTGGTCGTGACGAGGTCGATGCCCCACGTGACGGACGCCCCCTTGATCACGGTGGGCTGGACAGACGACACCGAGTCGAGATCGATTTGGCCCTTCATGAACAGGGATTTTTGGGCGCGTGGCAGGCTCTCCCCGGTCTTCGTCTCCGGCTTGCGCTTGTAGTAGCACAATGCACGGTCTTCGAGCTCCATGTAGCGCTTCTTCATCGCTTTGTTGGTCTCCCCGCGCTTCTTGAGCCATCCAGACACGGACAGTGCGGGCGACGCCTCCGAAGTGGCCGACGACGTGTTAAGCTTTAGCAAGTCCATAGGGAGTCGCGCCACGGCTTTGACTGTGTTGTTGTCGCCGTTACTGGCAGTGGTTGCATGGCCAATCCAATCATCCGATTCTAGACGATACTCTGGAGTTGCCGCACGGATTTCCAGCGTGGCCGGCGTCACGTGCGCGTGGACTGCGGTGAGAATGTCGCCGATGGCGTACCGAAGCGTGAGGCTTTCTTTGGAATGGACGAGCCTTGGCACAGGCTGCCACCGGGACGCCGCGGACGTATCGTTGCTACTGCCATAATGTGCGTAAGGGTTTAACGAGTGAAAGGAAGGGATGTCAATTGCGGTCGAATCACTGGCCGACGAGTCGTCTGTCGACGACGACGTCGACAATGACGCCGTGGTCGCGCACAGAGGCACCGGTGGCGGTAAGACGAAGCTCTGTCCACGGGAAAACGTGTTGGAGAGGAAACTCCCGCGTCGCGCGGTCATAGCCTGTAGGTCTTGCGGTGGAATACGGATCATAACGTAGTTTTTTAGGTTAACGACGGCGGTTACATCAACCCAACCAGTGGTAGAGTAATACTACTGTACGACTGGTAGGCGAGATCCAGATCTTCGGTTACATACATGTATTAGGTATGTATTGCTCATGCAAACAAGGGCTCACTGCATGCAATGGACATCGTAACGTTAGAGGACATACGTTGACAACGACTGCCTTCAAGGACGTGCATATTTTCGAGTGCGTACAATACTGTATCGGATTTGACTTCCAATTTGTGAGTTGCTAAAGGTAACCGTTGCTGGTCGTGGATTCATTCTGACCAATCACCGATTGTTTCGAAATTAATTTACTGTGGAAATTTCTAGCCCTACTGTAAAATAAAAAAAGGCAGGGACATTTTGCGAGAAACACCGAAACGCGTTAGCGCTAAGATTTCACGAAAAACTCGATTCATATATATCGTCCGAGGCACATAGTCATGCTTCTCGAGCTACACACTAGCACCATCGATGGCGTCTTGAGAGATATTTAACGTTAACCAGCAAGTACTTGCAGACCGTAAGTAACATTTCGGAGTACGTACAGTACTCTGTTCAAACGAATCGCCCAAAACAGCCAACCGGATATATTTCCGGAAAATGAATACTTGAGTTTTGTAAGGATGGTTTTGATGTGCGTGTCGGTCGTGCGGTCGAACAATCTGGGGTTGGTATCCGGACGGGCATACGAGAACTCAATGTTTGTAGCCACGAGAACACAGTGCCACGGATGGTATCCGGATGATCGCCGTCGCGAAGTCCATTTGCGTTCAAAGCAGCACCAGCAGGAGAAGCAAAGCCTGTGATGGCAGCCACCGCATCCTCGGATGACAGCCGATGGGGCAGCACGGCACACACGTACGACGAGAATTCCTTCAGCGTCATGGGACGACCATCGAATTTCTCTGGCAACAGTGGCGGCGGTGGCGGCGGTGTGTCCACGCCCGACTTCCACGACGTCAACCCGTACGCGCACTACGGCCGCGTCCCTGCCACGTCAACGTCCACCAACGGCGGCAAGTCCCACCGACGATGGCAGCCGATGCAGGGCATCGTGCACTCCAAAGAAAGCATGGCTCTTCGGAGTGCCATCGGGTCCATTCTCAACCAAGTGTACGAGCACACGTCGGCGGAAACATTAGAGATTCGCGCCAACACGCCGCAATATCGCTTGGAAAAGGGCGACTGGGTCATGCACAACGCCCAAGCAAACAACATCGACGTGCCCATCAAGACCGTTGCGCGCTTGCCCCTCAGCCTCCTCGACATGTCCAAGGCGGCGGGCCAGGCCATCTCGACGCACACGTTGGGGCGGCACCTCGCCCACGACGGATATTTGTGGAAGCGTGGCGAGTCGGCGAGTTCCACCATGAAGCGGCGGTACATGGTGCTCCAGGACAAGGTCATGCGGTACTATCAAAAGCCCCCAGAGTCGTCTCGCAAGCTGTTTGGCGGCGCGCCCAAGGTCAAGGGCAGCATCAAGCTGGACGACGTGTCGCTCGTACGGCCATTCCAAGGTCAGCCCACAAACCACGTGATTGAGCTTGTCACAAGCGATCGCACGTGGGTGCTACAGGCCGAAAGCGACGGCGACTACCAGGAATGGGTCCGTGTGCTGTGCCACACGGTAAAGTTCCAATGTGTGGACGTGGTATTTCGGCGGATGCTGCAGCTGGCAGAAGTGGATGCGTCGGGGGCCAACGAAGTCCGCCTGGTGACGCTGCCGTCGTGCTCGGTCAAGGAGACGGTGGAGCATGTGTTCAACTGCTATCACAACATGCTCGAAGCCGTGCCTTTGCACGTGTACGACCCAAATGATTACGTACTCAAAGTGACAGGGTACCGCGATTACCTCATCGAAGACAACCAGCCCGTGGGCAGATACAAACATGTGCGAGAGTGCATCTTAACGAAGAAGACACTGTGCCTCACGCTCGTGCACAAGTCCAAGATTGCGGAAGCGTGCGACCAAGTGGACGACGAGATCTTCAAAACGTACACAAGGTCGACGGGCTCCAACTCTCGCCATGGCCTTCGCCAAATGTCCCACCGCCGCCCCAGCTGGAATTGTACGACCTTGGAATACGATCATCTGGACGACATGGACATGTACGATCACTCGGCGTTGCTGCCGTCGTCGCAGTGCATGGACACGCTGCGCTTCAGCATCAACCGCGTGGTGCACATCCCGCGGCACACGACGCACGTCCACCGCACGGCTCATGCAAAGGGAGTCATGACCAGGCCACTGCAGTACGCCAACTGCGTCGTCCAGATCGAGCTAGTTCATGCTGGCCAACGGGTCGAACTGGTCGGGGAAACGTCCGACATTCGCCTCAAAAGTCTGCCACCGCCACCGACCAAGGCAGCAGGAGCGACGACCCCCCTGCCCGACTTGATTGGGGTGTGGTTGGCCCCCAAAGCATTTGCGACGCGGCTCCGCGTGTGCCAAATCCCAAGATCTGCGCGCATTGTGTTTACGCTCTTTGGCGTGTCCGCCGACGGACGCGAGCGCATCATGACCACCGGATGGAATGTATTTGATGTGGACGGTATGTTGGTCCCGGGCGAGCACTTTGTTCAATTCTTAGACAACACGCACACGTGCACCACGGGCGCCGTGCCCCACGTCGTGTTTCCAGACCAGCCGTTTTTGCAGGTACATACAAACCACAAGATCGTCAGTTGTGTTATGGGTAGTATTGTCGATTTGATAGTACAAATTTGGGGAACCGATCCACAATCGATCGGATTGGTTGTTGAATTTCATTGAGAAGGCTTTGATTGGCTAGTAATTTTGAGCTCCACTGAGGTAGCCAATCAAATCGATTGAAATTCCAACCAGAAACCACAACACAATGAAATTTCTCTTAAAAGCACAATAGTGGATATTGTACTCTTTTTACTCAAAATGTGGACTTTTGTGCGGGTGAATCGTCAAGTCGATCGATGGATCGATTCTTTGTTACTGAAGGTTGTATGTAAAAAGTTGTTGTCCTGTGGTGATTGGTTTCACACTAATTTTAGGCATACACTAATTGACCTTGGTGATGGTTATGTCGTGCAATCTGATTGGCTCAATTCTTCTGCCGATGCTAGAGTACATTTGGTTGTGTCGATTCATTCTCCATGTCGCGCTCTAGTTTTGGAATAAACCCAACAAGCCAGGATGATGATGATGATCATGTTGGAGACAAGAGATATTATTGTCCTTTTCCCCAAAATTTGGTTGACTTTTGTGCCGCAGATTCGCCAAATCTATCAATAATCGATTCTTTGTTACTGAATTTTGAATGTAAAAAGTTGTCGTATGGTATCACACTAATTGAAGCCACACACTAATTAGATGTTGATGATGGTTGGCTAAATATATCCTTCTGCCGATGATTCTTCTGTGATATACATTTGGTTGTGTATCGATCAATCGTTCCAGTTTAGAAGAAACACAAGACAATATAATGATATATGCTGAGGACGCGTCCATATGTTCTGATATATCATACTGACGAAAACATATGGACGACATTGCCATGATGACGGATGATATACTGATATACTACGTAGTAGTACAAGGATTTCAGATACTCCGGCGTACTAATATTCATGCATTGGTGACGAATACATCAAACCTAAAGTGCAATATGGACGAATCTATACTTGCCGACTAGACATTTCTTGGTGATGTAGGATCAATATTGGAGTATAATTCTGCACTGGTTGTATCGTATGTTGGATTGGTTGATACATGATGGCCATTTATATATATATATATATGGTACTGACAATATCAGTGTAGTTTGCAGTCGAGACCGAGCACACACACCAATATGTCGAGTTTGACTGGAGAGTGGACAACCCAGCAACGACGTACACTCCCGGGGCGGGGCTCCCGTTGACGACGTGGATCAAAGAGGACGAGACCGTCGCCCGGCTATCGCCTCGCAGTCCGACATTGAACCGCGCCGGATGGCTCCAGAAGACTGGCAAAAACCACAAGACGACGGCGTTCAAGTTGCGGTGGTTCTCACTCGACCAATTCGACCGAACGCTGTCGTACCAGGAGTCACCGACGCCGTCGCCGGCCCCGCTACAGGTGATTCCGCTCGCGGGTGCGGAAATCCTCCGCGACGACCTGCTCAACAAGGTCTTGACGGACAAACTCACAGCCACGACGAGGCGCGAGATCCAGACGTGGGTGTTCAAGGTCCGTCCGGCCAACGGCACCCGCGAGTACATTTTGTCGGCTGAGACGTCCCAGGAGCGCGAGTCGTGGGTGAACGCGCTGCAGCTTGTGGCGTCGGAGGATTGGGTGGACGACAAGCTCCTACTTCCCACGCGCGCGCTGTCGTCCGTCCATTGCCGCAGCGGCCATAAAGTGCTGCAGTACCTGCGCAACTTGATACAAACCGACCCGTTGTACCGGCTCAGCGCGTTCGAGAAGAGTGTCATGTGGGACAATCGATACGACCTGATGGACTGCTTCGAGGCGTTGCCGCGGGTGCTCACGTGCGTCAACTGGCTGAGTGCCCGCGAAGTGGCTGAAGTGTCGTCGCTCTTGACCCGGTGGGCAGCCCCGAGCCACCCCGCGGGGTATATTGCCCTCCTGGACAAGGAGTTTGCATGCGACGTGGTGCGGACGTTCGCGGTCGACAAGCTCAGCGAGATGGCAGACACGACGTTCAGTTACTTTTTGCCTCAGCTCGTGCAAGCGCTCAAGTACGAGAACCACCACGTGTCCCCGCTAGCCAAACACTTGATCAAACGGGCGATTGAAAACCCCAACCAAATCGGGTTTGACCTCTTCTGGGCCATGAAGGTCGAGACGTACAATGATCAGTTCAAGGAACGATATGGGCTGCTCCTCAACACGTACGTGGATGTGTGCTCGCACAAGATGCGGTCGATTCTCGAGATCCAGGACAAGCTGTTTTCAGAAAGAGGCGAGTTTGAAGCCATCTGCCAAGAAATCAAAGCGTTGCACCACCGCGGTGTCACATGCGACGACTTGAAGCAGGCGCTGCGTGACAAGCTCACGGAATTGAACCCCAAGTTGCCGAATTCGTACCAGTTGCCCATCGACCCGCGGGTCGAAGTCGGCAAGATCCTAGTCCACAAGTGCAAAGTCATGAGCTCGGCCAAGTTGCCGCTGTGGCTCGAGTTTGAAAACGCCGAAGACGGCGGCGACCCCGTCGTGATCATCTTCAAAGCCGGCGACGACGTCCGCCAAGACTGCTTGACGCTGCAGTTGATCCGGCTCATGGACGAAATGTGGCGAGAAGACGGCAAGGACCTAGCTATGGAGCCGTACCGGTGCGTGTCGACGGGGCCCATGACAGGGATGTTGCAAGTCGTGCTGAATGCAGTCACAACCAAGGTCATCCATACGCGAGCGGGCACGGGTAAACTACTGGGGAAAGCCATGGGCTCGTTCAACAAGAACTGCTTTGTGGACTGGATCAAGGAGAACAACCCGCGGGACTCTGCCGCCAAAGCTGCCGGCGATCTGTTTCTACGGTCGTGTGCCGGGTACTGCGTTGCCACGTACGTGTTGGGTATTGGCGACCGGCACAGCGACAACATCATGGTATGTATGGGCGGACAACATATGCTAGACTTTTTGCTGGTTTGGTATTGTGTATTATTGCTATAAACTTGCAACATTCGTTTATCATGTCAATATATTGAATCACGCTGGAGCTCTAATTGGTTGAATATACGTGTAAAACTTCTGTAAGAGCCAATCAAAAATCCACTCAAAATTAGATTAGCCAATAATAGCGTCGATTACTTCGTGATGATTCGATTCGACTGAGTCTGGAAATTTGCACAATATTTGACGTAATTTTGATTGTTTTGAATGTAGGTGACGCAACAAGGACGGTACTTTCACATTGACTTTGGTCACTTTTTGGGGTACATCAAGTACCAACCGGTGGCAGGGGTCGCGTGGAAGCGCGAGACGACGCCGTTTGTGTTTACGCCGGCGATGGCCGAAGTGTTTCATGCGACGTCCAAGGTCACGGGCAGGCACGAGATGGACAGATTTGGGCGGACTGCCGGCGAAGCGTTCAATGTCGTGAGGGGGCACATGCACCTGCTGGTGTCGCTGTTCCTGCTCATGATTCCCGCCGACATGCCAGAGCTGCAGCGGGCCCAAGACATCAACTACGTCGTGGCGTCGTTGTACCCCAAGATGACACCCCCCGATGCATTTTCCCTGTTTGGCGAGTTGATCAACAAGTGCCTGCATGACAAGTGGAAATCGGTGGACGACGTCTTGCACGCGTGGAAGCATTCCAAGTAACTTATAGATCTATTTGTACAATCACAACGATCAACGGTTGGGGGGGAGGGGAATCATCGACATATGAGGCGGGAAATTGAATATTTATACTCTTAACTTTTGCCTGACCACCACCAAACATCTCTGCGCGACCAACGTTCTTCCATTCATATTCATATATATGCATTCATCCTTGGCATACTAGACGAACGAATACTATACTACTAGTACGTATAGTAAGTACACTACGTAGTAGTACACTACAAATCGACACAACGAGTGGGTTTTTCTAATTTATGATTGTTGTGTTGATTTATCACTAACAAGAGGTCTAGTAGACCTCTTGTTCAGTGACGAAGTGAACAAGAGGTCTAATTGAGGATTCAATACGAATTTCCAGACCCCGTCGAATCGAATGAGGTCTAATTGAGGATTCAATACGAATTTCCAGACCCCGTCGAATCGAATCATCTCGCCGCTATGATTGGCTAATCCATTTTTGAGTGGATATATTTGATTGGCTCGAAAGGACAAGTTGATTCAACCAATCAGAACTCCGGCGTGAATCAATATTGATTCGTTTATAGCGAATTCACAATATTGCCAGTAACGTCATTGCCACACCATAACACGTTACATGAATAATCTAGGCTGGTCATTCGACAACCATAATAGGCATACATACCGGTACTCTTACTGTCAATAGCGGTGTGCATACATACACTATTAATAGTACCATATACTACTAGTACTGTACTAGGGTTCCAGTCATGTACAACGTTGAAAGCTTCGTATGTACTACTAGTACTCGATAATACATCATGTTCATCCGTGTTCTGAACCAACTCGTCGAATGGAACTCGACTATCTATGCTTGAGGATGTGGAATGTGTTGTCGATGCGCTTCATGGTGCTGTTCATGCACTGACTGGTGAGGTCTGCAAAGAACGCGGCGGCGTCTTCGTCCGTCATCTTTTGCGCCGTCACTTCCACGATGTGGCTGATGTCATCACGGTGTCGCAACTCGGGCATGGCCGCGGGGATCATGAGCAGCAGCAGCGACACCAGCAGGTGCATGTGCCGCCGCACCACATTGAACGCTTCCCCGCACAGCTTTTGGAAGCGCGGGTACTCGTCCCGACCTTCCGCCGTCGACGGCTTGAACACGTAGCGCATTTCCGGCGTAAACACAAACGGTGTCTGTTCGCGCTTGATGCCGTACTACAAGAACACAACGCCATATAACTACTAACTAGTACCAACTAAATACGATTATCTTGACGTCGTACCTGGTACTTCATAAAGCCCAAAAAGTGGCCAAAATCAATGTGAAAGTACCGGCCTTGCTTGGTAATCTACAAACGTCCTATGTCGTCAGGAACACATTTTCACAGTGTCACACATTAGATTTGTACCATGATGTTGTCGTTGTGCCGGTCGCCAATGCCCAGCACGTACGTGGCCACGCAGTACCCCGCACAACTCCGTAGAAACAAGTCCACGGCCGTCTTGTAGCTGCGTGCGTCGCCGTTGTTGGCGCCGATCCAGCTGGCAAAACTCGTGTCATCGAACGCTCCGATGACGCCGCCGCCGCGCTTGTGGATGGCGGCGGTTGTGACAGAATGCAGCACGACTTGGACAAGGCCGGTCATGGGGCCCGTGGACACGCACTTGTATGGCTCCATGGCCAGGTCCTTGCCGTCTTCTCGCCACATTTCGTCCATGAGCCGGATCAACTGCAGCGTCAAGCAGTCTTGGCGGACGTCGTCGCCGGCTTTGAAGATGATCACGACGGGGTCGCCGCCCTCTTCGGCATTTTCAAACTCGAGCCACAGCGGCAACTTGGCCGAGCTCATGATTTTGCACTTGTGGACTAGGATCTTGCCGACTTCGACCCGCGGGTCGATGGGCAATTGGTACGAATTCGGCAACGTTTCGTTGAGTTTGCCGAGTTGTTCGCGCATCGCCGCCTTGACGTCGTCCTTGCTCTTGCCGTCATGGTGCAGTTGCTTGACCAGTTGGCAGATCTTTTCAAACTCGCCTTTTTCTGAAAACAGCTTGTCCTGGAGCTCCAGAATCGACCGCATCTTGTGCGAGCATACGTCCACGTACGTGTTGAGGAGCAGACCATATCGTTCCTTGAACTGATCGTTGTACGATTCGACCTTCATGGCCCAGAAGAGGTCAAATCCGATCTGGTTGGGGTTTTCAATCGCTCGCTTGATCAAGTGTTTGGCTAGCGGGGACACGTGGTGGTTCTCGTACTTGAGCGCTTGCACGAGCTGAGGCAAAAAGTAACTGAACGTCGTGTCTGCCATCTCGCTGAGCTTGTCGACCGCGAACGTCCGCACGCCTTCGTTGGCAAACTCCATGTCGAGCAGCCGAATGTACCCCGCGGGGTGGCTCGCCGTGTTCCACAGCGGCAGCATGCCCAGGACCTCGTCCACTTCGCGCGAGTCGTTCCAGTTGACACATGTGAGGATCCGTGGGAGCGCGTCGAAGTCGTTTTTGAATTGGTGCCGATTCTTCCACATGATGGCCTTCTCGTACGAACTGAGGCGGTAGAGCGGGTCGCGCGAGATGATGTCGCGCAGGTCCTCGACGGCGCGCGCGTTGTTGTCCACGCCGCCTGAGACACTGGACGCCGACGACGCGCGATGTGTGAGAAACACAGACGACTGGGGCATCGTGAACGACCGCAGCACCGACGGCGGACGGTCAGACGACGACGACGTCGAGCGAAGCGCGTGGCTGTTGGTTCTCGTGTTGGCAAAGCTGTCGGAACCTTCCGACTGGTTGTCGTCTTCGTCGTCATCCTCCTCCGAGAAGGTTTCGCCTCGCGCCACCATCCCCAGCGCCGACATCCACTCCTCGCGCTCCTGCTTGGTGCTGGCACACATGACAAACTCACGGCTGCTGCCGTCCGCCCGCAGCTTGAACACCCACGTCTGCTGCTCCTTCTTGGTGCTCTTGGATGTGACGAACGTGGTAAACTTGGAATTGAGCTCGTCCGCGGCCCACACTGTCGCACCCACGAGGTGGATTGTGTGCTTTGCAGGCAGGTGCACGTCGTCGCTGTACGACAACGAGTTGGTCGTCTGGTTGAGCGAGAACCACCGGCGCTGCCACTGCGACAGCGTGTAGCTCTTGCCAGTTTTCTTGAGCCAGCCAGACTTTTCAAGCGTTTGGCTCCGGTGCGAGTTGGTCTTCTTCTTGGTCGATTCGTACCCGTTGCCTTGGCTCCAGTCGAACGCAATGTCTGTGTGGTACGACGACAGCGAAATCTACATAGGGACGTAGTAGCATGTATATGAGGTTCAGAGCTCCTTGCTATAAGAGAACGAACATGAATAAATAGATATATTGTCGATTTGATAGTACAAATTTGGGGTGCAATCGAATCGACCAAACCGATCCACAATCGATCTGATTGGTTGTTAAATTTCTTTGAGAAATGGGTTTTGATTGGCTAATAATGTTGAGCTCTTCTGAGGTAGCCAATCAAATCGATTTAAATTCCAACGAGAAACTACGCCACAACACAATAATGAAATTTCACTCGAAAGCACAATACACACAAGATGCTTGGTTTCAATTCAAACTACATGACCACACAACCTACACGCAATGATATACAAGTAGTAGCAAATATTTCAGAGACTTTATATTGTGCTTTCAGCCACAATTTGTGGATTTCGTTTTGTGGTGGTGTCCATCAGTCGACTAATTTTGTCCTGAATGTGTCGGATGCACAATGGGTGAAACCATTCACACTATTATAATAGATGGCAAATCGAATTCGAGGAGTTTGATTGGCTCCTTGGAAATTGTCCTGGGGTTTGATTGGTCGGTCGATTTGGTCCGTCAAAAACCAACTCGAATTGACTCATCAGTATTGGACTCCAACAACACGAGACTGTCATGGTATGATTCAACCTTGTACTTGATATATCATCCCAACATATCCAACCAACACTGTCACTTACTCAAAACACACACACAAAACCTTGCTTTCCCCACCACCAACCATTATCCCAACCAATCAAAAAGCACCGATCATAACCAGCTCACAGATCTTAAACCCGACGTACGTGGATCAACGGTTTGTGTGTGTCGACAATGTGGGGCACCGACCCATAGTGACAACGGTGCAAGTTGTCGATCATTTGCACGTATTGCTCGCCTTGGGCGATGAGTCCTTGGACGTCAAACACGTTGATGCCTGTGGTGAGGATGCGCTCGCGGTCGTCGCCGGTGCTGCTGCTTCCGCTGTGGCTTTTACGCACGCCGTAGAGCGTAAACACCAACCGGGCAGACCGCGGGATCTCATTTAGTCGGGTCTTGGTGCGGTACCATTTCGGCTCGGTCCACAGCGCAATGAGCCCGTCGTCCATCTGCGCCTTCAAGCGGACGTCGGTGGTTTCAATCGGCTCTTCAATCAACTTGCCGCCGTTGTACAGCTCGACCACGACTACGCCGTTGGTGAACAGCAGCGGCCGCCCTTCCACGGCCATCTCATGGGCATTGCGCGTCAAGTGCGTCGTGAACCGAGGAATGTTTAGCACACGGTTGACGCAAAAGCGAAGCGGTTCGTGGTAATCGCAGCTCTTGCCAACAACCACGGCGTGTTGCCCGTCGTCGTGGTTTTGGTTGGTCGTCGCATCAGCAGCGCCGACTGGACGCTCTGGTTGCTGCTGCTGGCGGTGGACGTTCCACTCGCCGCCCAACGTCGTAAAGTTCAAATTCGATCGGGACGACTTGGTTGTCAAGTGGCACACCTTTTCGTTGTACAGTAGATCCTGCGACTGACTCAGCCCCTTGAGCAACTCTGGGCCGTCAATTTTTGACCGGTGGACAAGCGTCAAGCACACCGTTTTGCGGGTCAGGAGGCACTCGCGGACGTGCTGGTAGTCGCTCACTTCGCGCGAGGGTTCAATCATGTAGTCTCGAAACCCCGTGAGCTTGAGCGCGTACTCGGACGGGTCGTACGCATGCAGGGGCACGGCATCGAGCATGTTGTGGTAGCATTCAAAGATGTGCACGACGGTCTCTGCGACAGTGTACGATGGCAGCAGCACAAGACGCACTTCGTTGGCAGCGTTCGCGCTCACTTCGGCCAGTTGCAGCATGCGGCGGTAGATGATGTTGACCGAGTGGAACGGCACTGAGTGGCAGATAGCTTCGACCCACCGGTAGTACTCGGCTTCCGAGTCGGCCGCGAGCACCCACGTCCGGTTGGTTGTGACCAGCTCAAAGCCCCATGCGACGCTGTGGTCGGCATGCGGCTGGACCGCCGACACGTCGTGGAGGTTGATCACCCCCGTGACCAGCGACGCCTTTTCGTTGTTGCCGAGCATCACGCCGTTCTTCATCGGTTCCTTGCGGTAATAAGACAACTTCTTGTCTTCCAAATCAAAGAACCGGCGCTTGAACGCTTTGTTGGTTTCCCCGCGCTTTTTCAAATTGCCAAACACGAGGAGGTCGGTTAGATCCTTGCGGCCCACGCACGCATGCGGGTCCACCGTGAGCAGGCTCATGGGCAATCGAGCTACTGACTTGAGCGTCGGCGGCAGCACGTTCTTGCTGTTCTTGTGGGCAATCCAATCGTCGCTTTCCAACCGGTATTCTGGCGTGTTGGCGCGGATCTCGAGCTTCTCCGTCGACACTTCTTCGTGGACTTGCTTCAAGATCGATCCGATCGATTGCCGCAACGCTAAGCTTTCCTTGGAATGGATCAGACCTGGGACAGGCTGCCATCGACCGCTGGACGGTCCATGTTCGTGTTGCGGCTGCGCGGCGGACGCCTTGTTGTGCCCGTAGTGTGCAAATGGGTTCAGGTCGTTGAACGCAGGCAGCTTGCACGACTGAGCCAAAGACTGGATGTCCAGACCATCATATGTAGCTGGAGCGGCACGGCTCATCGCGCTAGATCTGCAGGCTTGAAGGTAGAGGTGTAGGCGGCGAGTTGAGTGCTGCCTGTTATTCCCACTTGTGGAGATGGCCTGACCAGCTCTTTACAGCACAAAAATATTATATATTATATTGACATCTGGTTTTTTATTTGGGTTCCGTGGGCCATAGTAACCTCGTTTTTTTTAAATTGGCAGCGCTGACTTCATGGAATGAAAAAACTTTGTGATCCGGATAAAACTCTGTGCTGTTTGTACACATATATCCGGAAAAAGCGAGTTTAGTTCACAGTCAATGTCAACTCTGCCATAGGCTTATACCCCTCTGCCATCTTTGCGATTACAGTCAAATGCTGGCAATTTATCCGTTGACAAGGCAAACGCATGAGCGAGCTAATTGCAATAGTAAATCACATTTACAACGGAATGGGCTTGCTCGAATTTGCAATGGAGGAATCATGAAGAAGAGAAATCCTACCTTCGTGAAGACTTTTGCAACTGTACAGTACTTGGTAACTGGACCTTAGGTAATTGACAGTGTGAAATTGAAATTACGCGGTATTTACAAGCTCACTATCGCCCGAGCACGCGCATGTGCAGCAGCGCCCGCGAACTAGACAAATCTAGCGGATGGAGCTAGGGACCTTAGGTAATACCTACTCAGTAGTTAGGACACTATGGTTCGAATCGTGCATTTGAGGACGATTGGCAGCGCTTTGGAAGGCGTGGTAAGTTTATTCTATTCCAATCGACGGGGATTTGGTTGTGGGATTGTACAATAAAACCTACTACGTTTTAAATTCAATTGCGATCTGTCCATTTGCCATGGTTGGAATGCATCTGGCACCCCGACCCAAAAACGAATAAAATCTGGCAGATCAAAGGTATGAAGCATGTCTACTTCTCTACATCAACCGCATGAGTCAAATGTAAGGCTTACCAATGCTTTGGATTGTTACGGCTAAAGCTGAATTGACACCGGTGCGTCAGCATATAACGTGTTCCAAACCTCGGTTTGATTGGTTGTAATTGATACAACCTCATCTATTTGATTGGTCGCAATATTAACCTCGTTTAAAAATGGTATATGCGCGCCAAGTGTTGCAAAAGCCGACAATAACTCAACGTTAGTCGGTGGATGCGTTTCCTTGCCATGCAGCGCTGTGATAATGAACGCAATGATTGCGGACTAACCATGATAGTGTACTGGCAATTTTGGTTTACACCAGGCCACATATAAATGAGTTGCGTGGTTGTTGGTTAATCAAATCAGAAGGCGGGTCACCAACCCCGTCGCGAAGGCTGGCCAAAGCCTTGACTTCCAACCATGCAATCAAGGACCATTCGGGTGCAGATGGCAGCATTAATTTTGAGATACTATAACACAGTATATGTAGTGCCTTGAGCAACAACTTGACATGTACATATTGGGGTTTCGGGCGAGCTGGTCTCGAAAGAACGACATACATTTCCGACTGTTGTTCACACACTACAGTACTATTAATAGTAACGTTAAGCTTATGGAAACTCTATGCTCCTTTACCCTGCTCACATGGCATATAACTTTTACTACTATCGTTACAGTACATGTGGAGGCGCACAATAATGTAGTCGCTCAGATGTTATAATAATACTTGCTGTCGCTGTCCCGGCTTTTTATGAGATAATCACAGCATAAATTCTTGGGATCAGATTATCCGGATGTCTCAGTCGAAATTCACTTGGGGCTCCTTACAAACATCAAGTCATCGTCGGGTGCAGATATCTCAATCATCCGGATAATCTCAATCATGTCCTGCATTTCCCGTTTGGCAATGGCGGCAGCAGCGACTAGCGATCCGCACATGCTCCTTCCGTCCGTAGACGAGCTGAACCCGTATGGACTGAGTTGGGACGCGCTGTTCGAGAACGAAATCCATGATGACAACAACAACCACTCGTTGTCTGGCAGTGAGCACACGACATGGCATCCCGTGCCAGGGCTGATCCATTCCAAGGAAAGCGTCCGGCTGCGCGAAGCCATGTCTGTGATCTTGCAGGATGTGCATGTGGGTACATCTCCTGATGATCTGGAGATGCGAGCGGCGGCTCCAGAATATCGTCTCGAAGAGGGCGATTGGGCGACCCACGACCATTTCGACAACTCTTCCTCCACCACCTCCACCGCCGACCCGCGGGATTCCATGGGCGGTGTTCTCATGGCTGTGATCAAGACCGTCGCGCGCCTTCCTGCCGATTTGCTCCAGGAAGATCCATCGCACAACAACGATTCGTCATCCGCTCCTCCATCGGACTCATCCGTGTCCGTGAGTGGATGGCTGAAAAAGCGCGGGGTTAGAAACGTTGCGCTCAAGAGTCGGTTCATGCAGCTAGAAGGGAACGTGATCGCGTACTACGGCAAACTACCCAGCCCAAAGTTGTCCAAGGGGGATCGCACGAAGCTTCAAAAGGGAGTCGTCGAGCTAGACAAGCTCACGTCGCTGCAGCCCTGCGGCGAGAAAGATCTATGGTGGGCATTCGAACTTGTGACAACCAATCGCATCTGGGTGCTGCAAGCCGAGTCAGAGGCCGAGTACATGAAATGGGTCACCGCGCTGTGCCACACCGTGTCATTCCAAGTGATCAACCAGCAGTTCCGTCGCATGTTGTGCCTGCAAGAAGTCCGCGCGACCGCCAAGACGGACGTGCGGCTCAACCTCCAGCGCACATTTACCGTGCAAGCCACCATCGATCACATCTTCACGTGCTACACACACGCAATGGACGCCGTGCCCCTCAAGCCTTATACACCGACCGACTACGTCCTCAAACTCACCGGGTTTAAGGACTTTCTCATCGACCCCACGCGCCTCATCCTCGACTACCAGTACGTCCGCGACTGCCTCTTGACGAAAAAGACGCTCCGGCTCTCCGTCGTGTCCAAAGCATCTCTGTACGCGTCCGTGATCCGTAAGGCATCGGCGTCCTCCTTGCATGCCGCGGGCATGCCGGCGTCCAAGAGCTCGCAGCGGCTTTCTTCGCTCGTCGCAGCCATCAACATCTCTTCGCGTGGCCATCATCCTTCGCCGTTGCTCGCTGACAACGACGACAACAACAACCAATCGTCGTCGGGGGATAGCCTCAGCTTGGCCGGGCCCCACCACGTCGCAGATGACGACGGCACCCCCCCCAGTCCATCCCTGCACGGTGCAGCATCCACAACATCGTCACACTTTATCGCCAAGAGCTGTCGCATAAACGAATCGCTTCGGTTCTGCATCCACCGCGCCCTCCAAGTCCCCGGGCATACGTCCCAACTCAAGCGCACATCGCATGATGTGTCGACTGAAACGGCCCCGCTCACGTACTTTGACGTGGTGATCCGCGCGCAGTTGTTTGACGGCGGCGTGCCCCTGGACGACTGGACCGAGACTGTCGACACCAAGCTGCAGCCTATGTCGCGCTCTTTGAAAGACAACAGTGTCACATCATACACAGCCGTGTGGGATCACCCGACGTGGCTGCGCTCGAAATTAAAGATCCGCGAGCTCCCCCGCAGCGCCCGGCTGGTTGTGACACTGTTTGGCGGCAAGAAGGACGCGGGGCGGGTGAGCGCCGACGACCGCGAATGCATCGGCACCACCGCCATCAACCTCTTTGACGTTGACGGACTTCTCGTCCAAGGCGACTCGTACGTCCAGCTGCTCTCCAACGTGTATCGGTGTGTGAGTGGTCCCGTGCCCCATATTGTCGACCCCGCCAAGCCATATTTGCAGGTACATGTATTGTCGTTTGAGCTATGTGTATTTGTGGGGCAGGTTCGCCAAATCATGATTGTTTGTCTTGCATTTTGTATGTAAAACAAAGGGACCCATGTTCCACTACTATATACAAGATCAATCACATACGGATTCAATGTTGAATGGTGGAAGCGACATATTTTGATTGGCCACTTGGTTCATTGTGGGGTTTGATTGGTCGATCGCATTTTACCTCGTTTGATATTTCCTAGAGTTCCTACGATATTTCAATTCACAGGCTGAAATTTTTCACAAAGATATTTGATTGAGCACTAGGTTTAAATGACTTCAACATTGAGACGTGTAATAATATATAGAGACGAATATTATTATATCCAATCATAAAAGGCCACCACGAAATATCGAGATTCTATTGGCTAAAAGTCAGACAGTCTCAAAAGTTGGTGCCGTGTCAACAATTGATGCATTACGTTAGTACAATACAAAGATATTCGATTGAGCACACAACTCCACTTACTCCACTTTCAAATCGAATGGACGATAATATTGTGAATTCGCTACAAACTTCCGAAATTCGCGTGGTTGGTCTGATCAATATTCAATCATGCTGGAGTTCTGATTGGTTGAATATCCTTGTCCTTTCGAGCCAATCAAATACACTTAAAATTGGATTAGCCAATTGCGTCGATTCGTGATTTGATTCAGTGGCGAGATATTCGAATCGACGGGGTCTGGAAATTTGTACCGAATATACCACAATAGCTTGTTGCCACTGTATCGACCCAATGTCTAGACAACTTGGGGGGGCTTTTTATATTGTGGACGACGACACACACTTACGACGATATTACGTTTGGATGTTGTGGGGGGGAAGTTGCCATATTGACGCATTGTATCTGTAGATATCGTGGAAGCGGTTCCCAACCGACGTGCAATTTCAAGTAGGCGACCTCCCAGGGGCTTCCAACTCTGTTGACGACCAACCCAACGTCCAGTACGACGACGACGACCGCGACGATGATGATGCAATGATAGAAGGCATTTCGACCACTTCCAGCGGCAGCAACAACAGCAGCCTCGTCCACAACGTCCACATTGCACTGATCGACAAGAAGGGCTGGCTCAAGAAGCTCGGGCAGCAAGGCACGATGAGCAAATGGCGAGATCGGTGGTTCAGTTTGAACCAGGCGACGGCCAGCTTGACGTACGCAGACTCACCAGCTTCTTCTTCTTCCAAGACGATCCCCCTCTTGGGGGCGACGGTGCTCATCGCGGACCAGCTGAACGAGGCGTACACGACGTACGCAGTCAACAAGAACACCCGGAGGCAGCAGCAGACGTGGGGTTTCAAGCTCAAACCAGCCAACAAAGCCCGCGTGTACCTGATGAGTGCCCAGACCAAGCAAGAGCGCGAGGAGTGGATGGCGGCGATTCGGGCGGTGGCGTTCGAGTCCAACGTGGATGGGACCGCTGAGCTGGACAGCGGCGTCAGTAGTACTCGGCACAGCCTGCTCTTCACCATGTCGCCCGACACTGCCGCCGACGCGGCGACGACCATGTCCGTCGTCCGTCCAAACGACAACGACAGCAGTAGTACCCTTCTGGAAGAAATCAAACTCCTCATGCAGCAAGATCCACTGGTGAAGCTCAACAAACTGCAGAAACATGTGCTGTGGACGCACCGCCACTTGTTCCTTGACCAGTTTGAGGCCCTCCCTCGGATTCTGTCGTGTGTCAACTGGGTCGACCCAGTGGAATCCAAAGAGGCGCTGCATCTGATGCACCAGTGGGAACCATCCAAGCACCCTGCGGGGTACCTTGTCCTCCTAGACGCCGAGTTTGCCAACGACCAAGTGCGCAAGTTTGCCGTCGATCAGCTCAACGACATGGCCGACACTACGTACAGTTACTTTTTGCCTCAGCTCGTGCAAGCAATCAAGTATGAGAACCACCACGCATCCGCGTTGGCATTGCAGCTGATTGAACGGGGACTGCGCAACCCCAACCAGATCGGCTTTGACCTCTTTTGGGCCATGAAGGTCGAGAGCGAGAACGATCAGTATCGCGAGCGCTACGGTACCCTGCTCAATACGTTTCTGGACGTGTCGTCGGCCAACATGCGCGACATCCTGCACCTCCAAGCGTCGCTGTTTAGCTCATCGGGCAAACTCGAAGCCATCTGCCAGCATGTCAAGCAGCTCAAGGGTAACCGCAAAGTGCTGGACGAGATCAAAGTGGACATGCGCAAGAAACTCGACCAACTCAACGCGACGCTGCCCACGTCGTTTCAACTGCCGATTGACCCCCGCGTCGAAGTCGGCAAGTTGATTGTAAGCAAGTGCAAAGTCATGAGCTCGGCCAAGTTGCCGTTGTGGCTCGTCTTTGAAAACGCCGAAGTGGGCGGCGACCCCGTCGTGGTCATCTTCAAATCTGGCGATGACGTACGCCAAGACAGCCTCACTTTGCAGCTGATTCGCGTCATGGACGAACTGTGGCGCGCCGAAGGCATGGAGATGGCCATGGAGCCATACAAGTGCGTTGCCACGGGCCCCATGACGGGAATTTTGCAGGTGGTGCTCAATGCAGTTACGACCGCCGACATCCACAAACGTGTGGGCAACTGGGGCGCGTTCGATGACACGAGCTTCTCCAACTGGATCCAAGCCAACAACCAGGACAAGAAGAGCCTCAAGAACGCCGTGGATTTGTTTCATAGGTCCTGCGCCGGGTACTGCGTTGCCACGTGTGTGCTCGGGATTGGCGATCGCCACAACGACAACATCATGGTACCAATATGTGTGTCCAGGTGTTTGAGTGTAGTTTGCTGGGTTGGACAGAGTATACCTTTTATCCTCGTGGGCAAGTATATATATATATTACATTCAGTTTTGTCTTTTTCGACGGTAATAAAATGCTATCGATTGAATACATCGTTTGAAGTAATATGATTCGGAAACAAATAATGTTGAAGGAACTAATACAGTGGTGAAAGTACAGTACATGATATGTGGTTGTACTTACGTCGGTATCAAACGAATATATATATATATATATACATCACTTACTTTTATATTGTTGTAGATGACGCACGGCGGACGATACTTTCACATTGATTTCGGGCACTTTTTGGGCCATTTCAAGTACCAGGTATGGCGTTGTTATATCCATGGTGTCCCATAAACATATATATATATATATATATACTAGTATATGCATACATGATCTACAAATATCTATTTTCTACCAACAGACTAACTAGTATGTAACACGACGACAAAAATGAATATATATATATATATAGATCACCTACAAATACCTGTTTTCATTCCACAACATATCTGACTACTCTTTTATAGTTTGGCATCAAGCGTGAGAAAACACCGTTTGTGTTTACCCCCGAGATGGCACATGTGCTGGGCGGACGCGACGCGCCTTCCTTCGCGGCCTTTGTGGACACATGCACGCGGGCATTCAACATCCTCCGCAAGCATGTGCATCTCATGGTGACCCTCTTCCTGCTCATGATCCCCGCCGACATGCCCGAACTGCGCAGTCGTGATGATATTTCCCACCTCGTGGAAGTATGTCTCACGACCATGTCCAATGAAGACGCGGCCAAGGCCTTTGAAGCCGCCATAGACTTTTGCCTCGGCAATCGGTTCAAACGGCTGGACAACTACCTCCACATCCTTGCCCACAAGTACTTGTAGAGCTAGCTACCTACCTATCTGCTGCTCCTGTGTTGTTGGACGACCAAATGTTCATTAATAATAATCTACTAGTTAACGAATAATGTGGACATTGGACTACTCCACTGCAACGTCAGCTTAACATATTACAACAGGGTTTTGATTTCACAATGCAAACGTACGGAATTGCCCAAACCATCGTTTTACTAGTACTGTATTTGAACGTTTGTATAAATTTCAGTACTGCTTATATGGCGATTATATTTCCAGAGTGTTTAATCAAAGCACTTTGGCGCAGAGGAAGCGTGTTGGGCTCATAACCCAAAGGTCCCTGGATCGAAACCAGGAAGTGCTATCTGTTTTTCCCCTTTTTATTCGTGAAAATCACCAACACTAACAGTTCGTTCAATGCTGCGATCAACAGGGATATGTACTATGTACAACTCGAGGGAACAATCAGGATTGTTAGGAGTGCTTCTGATTTTTGAAGCATACTCACAAGGGGTTGGATTCACGGATAAATATTACCAGTAATGCACTGCAATAATATGGGCAGCGGTACCATACAGGTACACATAATCTTCACGCCGTGGCGACAGGATGGGGCTGGGCAGTATTGAACGTGGTCGACTCGCTCACCCTCGCTCGACTCGTGAGCACTTCTAGCACCCCGATAATGGACTTGCGCAACGATGGAAGGCGAATGCCAAGGATGGACGACGGCGTCGGAGGCGGCACTGCCGCACGAGGCGTATCAGTGGCCACTTTTCGGAACACCAAGAGCGCTTCTTCGAGCCTTTCGCGCTCACGTTCGTGGTCTAATGCGGTCTTTGGCTCTTCGTCCTTGAAGTAATGCCGCTGCCATGTGCTAATGGCACGCGCCCACTCGGAACGAACGGACGGCCCCAGGCCACTGACCTCCACGACTGTTTTTGGCGACAACGCATACGTGCGGTCCTTCACAAGGACGCGCTGTGACTCGACCGTGAAGCTGAACGGAATGTTGTCGACTCGCTTGTGTGGCTTCACATCAACCTTGCAGCCCGAAAGGCGGAGTTCGCTCACGAGGCACGCCATGTCTGCAGAGGTGTAGAATCGAAGGTAGCCATGGTCCAAGCGGCAAAAGCACACCTGTGATGGCATCGTAGCGCTATGCCTCATCAAATAGCCTTCCATGATGATATAGCTACAGGTGGTGATTGTGGTCCAGTGCAAAGGAAAGATAGTCCGCTGTAATATTGCCGCGGAGATGCCAATGGCAAGTAAGTACTGGTAAGCAGAAACGTAACGGTCTGGATAGAAGAATGCTTGTGATTGGTGATTTTGATCGATATTATTTTATTTCGAACATTCCCAAGATTCACTAAACATCACTATGTGATTTTAAATTTTGACTTCTCGGATACTAGAGCCGAAATTTCGATTAATTTGGTCTTACTATTCATAGTATAATATGGTATATATTAAACTTTGTTAAACCATGCATATATTTTATAAAACCTATCGCGGCAGTGTAAAATCGGGAACATCAAAGTGCACCCAAAGGATAATAAGCCCGCGACCTAGTATTAACTTACATGCGATACCCCATTATCCCTTCAACTTAGTCGTTCATACTAGTAGTCGACGAGAACTCAGTCGTGGCCATAGACTCGACGCGGTCGTCGCGCCACTTGTGACTCGGTTTCGCATGAACCTTGCTATGACGTTCAACGCTGGTGTCTACCACCACCAAGTCACCGACCTAGAGAAGAGCACTCCATCACGATTTCACAGTAGATAATGTATCTGCGTACCCGCAGCAACCGTCGCGCCAGAGCTTGTGTGGGTGCCAACTTGCTGTCCGTGGCTGACGACGGCAGGCCCAGGACGTACTGGCACAGTCGGTGGATGTCTGCCGACGTCGTCGTCTCCGGGGCTGCAGGTTCCACCTCTCCTTCGTCCTCGTTCAGATCCACGAGGAACGAGTCGAAGGGGCAATCCAAGCTGAGGCACTTGACCACAATGTTCCAGTATACATGCGGGTCTTTGGCGTGCCATTGACGCAGGGGCCAACTGGTTTCTCCTCCTCCGTCGTCATGTGCCGTCATTCTCGCATGGAGGTAGCTCCACGAGAAGTACGGAATCGGCGACGACGGCGGCTGATCCATGCATCGCACGCAAAAGAACGGACTCAACGACCCTTGACAGCTGGGGCACGTCGACCGAAAGGTCGTCTGCAGGTCCGCCTCCGACAGACGGTGGCCACACGTGGCGCAATCTGCCAACAGCGTCAGGCGGATGCCGCGCTCAAACAACTCGCCAAACCGATCGTGCATCTCTCGACGCGGTCGCAACTTCACTGTCCCCGACTACGTAGTACATACAGTAACAACGTTGTCACATACTTCGTATAAGCTGAGGCAAGGTGCAGGCCAAAAATGATATATTTTGTACCGTTTGAAACACATCTTCGACGTTGGTCAGGCCTCGAATGAAGCTCACAGTCATAGGTCGCGGCGACTCGACCAGGCATGTGACGATGTCATGAAATGAACTCAGCATCATGGGTTTGCCGCCAATCGTATCCACGACATCGCCTTCTTCGATACGGCACCGCTCGTCTCTACGTCCAACCCTGTCAGAATTCTCTGGACGAGTATGCGGTCAAGTTGGGAGATGGATGGCTACGAACTGGTGTTGAAAGCCAGCGACATGGCACCCCTGCTTGTCGTTGAAGGGCTGCAAGATCAGGCCGAGGGACCCCATGCCAAATGTCGCATACACGCGATGTACCAGCGGTTCCAGCTCCACTTCCATGCACGGCGCCAGCCCCAACCCACCGCCCATGCTTGCGCTAGCACTACTGCTAGTAGTAGTAGTAATGTCAGCACTACTAGTACTACTAGAACCGCTGGAAAACAGCCGAGTGGGGCTGGTCGGACTGGTTGGCGGCAGAACAGCGTCGTGGTGGTGTGGGTAGTTGACTTGAATCTGAGCCAGCCACGTCACCGCCAGCGCCACGTCCCCGTGGTCCATCCATGTCTTGATGAGCCAACTGAACGGTCGCCAGTGGCCCAGCTGGTTAAAGATCCCGCCCAAGGGAGACGCGCCCAAACAGGTTTCCCACACCGCCTCCAAGTCGTGTCGATGCGACGTCTTTCGGCACGCCCCCAGCGTGTGGATCAACTCCACATATGCTTGCTACAAACAATCCGTCATACGCCGATGCACATTCCAACGAACAAACAACTAACCGAAACCTAGTAAACTACGAACCGAACAAACGAGGCAAACTCCAACAAGCATACGAACGATGCAAAACTTCGAACGAACGAACGACGCAACACTGGACAAACAACGAGCTAACGACCGAGGCAACGTACCTCCAACGCGAGACTCGGTTTCTTGGCGTTGGTGGCCCACAGGTCGTCGAGCACGCGGGTGCAGTTGGCGACATTTGCCATGCACTCTGGCACACATGCGGTGTGGAGCCACGGGTGGTCGGGGACGTCGGGGTTGGTTTTCGTGCGGTGAAAGTTGAGCCGAGGACTTAGGTGGCTGCCGATGGTCTTGGCGCGGTGGAAGATGGCGGGTGGGGACTTGGCCAGCTTCCCGCCGTGCAGCCAGTTGTCGAGCCACTCGACCACGGTCGAGTTGGGCTAATGCAATTCATACCATCACATCCCAACGAATTTGTACTAAAGGCAACGTCAGTATGTACATACCTTGCGGGACTTTTTGCAAGCCACTTCGGGCACCTCGTACGGCAACTTGGGTCGTCGTGACGCCCCCAATGCATCGCTTGTCAGCGTTGGAAAGGCAATCTCGTAGTGGCTGAGGTTGGCCGTGGACACTGTTAGCCGCTGCGATGATGGAATTGCGGCTTCGTCAGCTGCACTGGCTTGTTGAAAGAACGACAGCATGACATCATGCCCCGCTGGTCGCAATGGAACATGGATGGCATCGAGTCCTAGCGATGCTGGCTCATCGTCTTCGTTGTCTATATCGTCGTCGCTGTCGTCCCGGTCGTTTCGGAGAGACGAGGACGACCCGCCACTGGAACTTGCTTTTTCCGAACTAAATTGATCCACATACTGCTGGAACGCACTCGTGTTGCTCCACGCAGTGAAAAACACCTAATTACACGACGGGGGGGGGTGTCACTCTGGTCAATGGGAACGTTGCATTTTGTAAAATACTCCGATTATGTACGACCAAACAATGCAATGTCATCGAACGAAATGAAGGCCCACCCATCCTACCTTTGCGGTACCGGTCTTTTGCGCCAAGAACTTTTTGGTGCCTTGCTTGGCCAGACCGGCGCGGTACTCGCACACGAGTCGCCGAAACCACTTGACCATTGTCCGTCGCAGCGGGTTCACGGACGTGAGAAACGACGTCGACAGGTTGCTGCCTTCGCTTTTGTGGAGAGAGGGGCTCCCTTCCACTGATTCGCGCAGGCGAGCGTGCATTCGCATGCGGCGATCTTGCAGGATATGAGGCAGCAACGAAGGTGGCGACTCTCCCCCGTCGGCTCCGACGAGGTGGCTACTCAGTAGGGTCACCAACGCCTCGGCCGCCGGTGGAAGCACCGGCAAGCGCGCCCGGGACCCATGCAGACGGTTGTCGCGCATGTCAAACCGAACCACCGCCTGCAAAAGAACCATACACACATGATCAACAACGGAATATATACCGTTATAAACAACAGTTGGAAAACCAGTGCAATGTCGACAACACAACGAGATAATGTTGCACAGCCAAGAATCCCTTGGACACTCTAAAAATCGAAGTGGCGTGTACCGTGGGAGAGGACAAGGACGCCGGGTGGGGCACTTGCGAGGCATGAGCGCCCGCAATGAACGGCACGGGCGCGTCCAGCAACGTTGCGATGTCCACACCGTGGGGCACGACGGGGATGAACACATGGTCCCATTGCAATGGCGCCAGGAGCAGGCGGATGGTCGTGGCTACGGCCGTGATAAACAGGTTGTCCGTGCCCAATATCAGAATGGAGTGTTCCAGCAGGGCATGATGCACCAACGCCACGAGGTTCTCGGGCTCCACGAGCTGAAACGTGTACTCGACAAACTCCCAGTCAAGGGGCGCTGCTTGTAGCAATATGTCCGTCTAATAGCATCCAGATTGTTGGACATGAAACCGATCGAAAGGGTGGGGAGGGTGATTTGTACCTCGGCGATCGAGCACAGTACCCCAGCCGACCCGACGCGGGGCACGGGCACTTCGTGCAATAAGTTGGTCAAGCATTGCTCTACAAAGTGCACAGTCGGCTGGTGGTGGCTGTCGTCGGAGGAAGGAACACTGTGATGCGACTGCTGCAGCAATTGATTCGCTTGGGTGTTCCATCGATGTTGACAGGTGCCGAGCACAGCGAGTTGCTCCAAGTACTGTAGTAACGATGTGTAGAAAGGATGCTTGCTTACAATGCAGAGCGACGTGAGGCACACTGCATCTGCGTAGTTGTTGGACACCGATGACGATATGCAGATGGACGCGCCATGAAGCGATGTCCCCGTGGCTGTGGTCAACACAAACGCATTGTACATCGCTGGCGGAGCGTCGGCACTTCGACTGGGAAACATAAACTACAGTACCCCATCACGAAGTGTCGTTCAAAATGTGGAGGACGCAGGGAGAGAGGTAGGGCTACAAGTGCCTACCAAGAGAACGCTCTGGGGGTACTCATCTTGGTCATGATTCTGGGGCGGGTACTGAAACACAATCGAGTGCGTGCTGCCTAGTCGACGCAAAAGTGAGCATGCGACCACTCCCATGATGATCATCATTCGAGCGACAACAACCTATCTTGGAAGCCACGAAGAAGTACTCGATCAATCGCGGTTCATCGTTGCTATTGTGCTCCGACATGGGTTCTCCTTCTGGTTTGTGACAGAAGAAGTGCGTCTAGGATCGCAGGATTTACGACGTTTCATTTTGATGGGGTATACGGATGATCAACCGGATAACACCCTTGCGCGTCAAAAAATGCACACATGGAAGCCACAAAAAATGGCATAAAATGGCCGTTTTTCGAAGAAAAATTGCCAAAATCGAAATATTTCATTTTTCGAGATTTTGTGCGTATGGATGCCACCAAAGTTCAAAACTTTAAGGGTTCGTCTGGTAACCGGAAATATTGCAATATTCAGACCCAAAGCGCCATTTTAGGGCCGAATTCAACAAATCTGATCAAAATTGAAACATGTCTTGCTTGCAGAGGTTTAACCCAAATCCAATAATTCACGTGGGATTTACTCGTTGAAGAGGTCCAAAACGCCACATTACAAAATGGACCTTTTACCTCCATTTTGAAAATGACATTTTGGTTAATCCCATTTTGCGAGAAAATCGGAATATTATTTTTGAAATGTTACCACACGTACCCTAAGCCACAATTTTTCTTGCGAGTCGGGTGTTTTATGGCATAAATAAATAGAATGGACGACCGATTTGGTCCAAGTTTTTTTATGGAGGTTTGGTTCACGTTGAAGTTCTTGCGGAGTTCTGATTGGTTGAATATACTTGCCCTTTCTGCAAGAGCCAATCAAATCCACTCTAATATGGATGCCACCCCATAAAATTATGCCATAAACCGGTTTGGCAAGTCTGCCAAAATTTCCCAAAGTCTCATATCCCATGAAGAAAAGGAGAAAAGAAGAATCTACAAAGTTGTCTGGATGCCAGTTGAATTTTGGAAGAAATATTCGATTTCCGATTGAAGTGCAAGGCTGCAACGTGAACACAAACCTCCATAAAAAAGTTGAACCAAATCGGTCCATTTTATTTATGCCATAAAACGCCCGATTCTCAAGAAAATTGTAGCATAATGTTTTGATCTTTGGTGGCATCCAGACGCACAAAATCTCGAAAAATGGAAGATTTCGATTTTGCCAACTTTTCTTCGAAAAACAGCAATTTTATGCCATTTTTGGTGGCATCCAGACCCGCCCTTAGGGTGCGTCTGGTAACATGTCAAAAATAATATTCCATTTTCTCGCAGAATGGGATTAGGGTGCGACTGGTAACCGGAAATATTGCAATATTCAGGCCCAAAACGCCATTTTGGGGCTGAATTCAACAAATCTGATCAAAATTGAAAGATGTCTTGCTTGCAGAGTTTTAACCCAAATCCAATCATACCACGTGGGATTTACTCGTTGAAGAGGTCCAAAACGCCAAATTACAAAATGGACCTTTTACCTCCATTTTGAAAATCGCATTTTGGTTAATCCCATTTTTCGAGAAAATGGAATATTATTTCATTTTCAAAATGGAGGTAAAAGGTCCATTTTGTAATATGGCGTTTTTGACCTCTTCAACCAGTAAATCCCACGTGGTATGATTGGATTTGGGTTAAAACTCTGCAAGCAAGACATCTTTCAATTTTGGGCCAGAATATTGTGAATATTGTAATATTTCAGGTTACCACACGGACCCTTAACAAATACTCCTTATGTCGTTCAACACTCACCATCGTCTCCTCCAGTGGATGGCTAAACATGAGCATTGTTGGCGCGTTGAGATGGAGCGTTAATAGGCTCCAACACAAGACTAGTTTGAGCTAACAATAGTCCATCAGCAGCCTATGAATGCCACGAGCTCTGGCTCAAGTCGTCTTCGAACACCGATTCGCGGCTAAACCTTCACTTGGCAGGCCATGCTTGTCGTGTCTCGTGGCTGGCACAGTCATTTGATGTGGTGTGGACGTTTCGACACGAACATCAAGTTTCCACGCTTAACTGTTGACAACTACTAGTACATGAACTCGACGCAATCTTGGACGAAACATTACTCGATATACGGGTACAGGACAAAGATATCCCTGCGCTGGAGGCGCTTGTTGCAGACGGGACATCGCGTGGACACCATGCGACCTTCCGTCCACCACCGATCGAGGCAGTCGCGGCAGAAAATGTGTCCGCACCTGGTCGCGATGGGATGCAGGATGGGGTCAAGACACACTGGACACGTGAGGGTTGTTCGTGCGCCAGCGTCTTGCCGGGCGTCTTCTTGATGTCCTTTCCATCGTTGGTCCAAGTACTCCCATGCAACCACGCCGACCACGATGGGGACGAGCACTTGCAGCACGTTCGACACGATGACGATACGCATGACATGAGCATACCAGCACGCAATAACTCCTACGACCGTCACACCAGAGTTCCATGCGGCATGTATTACGGATGACGCTCGGCGGCGGTACATAGCAAGCATCATTGGGCGGTTCGTTCTGCAGTGTGTTGATGTTCAACACACGGATCAGCCAATGAAACGTCGTGATTTCGAAGAATTCAATTTGATTGGCTACCTCCAATTCGTCCATTCGGTGTGATTTTGTCATATTAGGATGGTTCACGATAGGGTGACCACCATCCTATGTTGGTTCATCATAAGATTGCCACATGAGTTGAGCTATAAGGATCACCCCAAGCCTGCAAAGCGCATGATATTAAAGGTAACTAGACTCATGTACTACGTAGTACTAGTAGGATGACAGGTCTTGAAGCATACTAGTAGTACCATTCATTGCATCCAACAATATACTGGACCCAACAATACCGTAAGCAATGAAAGCCATTCCAACTTCAAACTTCGTTCATTATAGACTAGTGATCAAGCTAGGTCGGTTGTTAGGGAGCAGCATGACGAACAGCCCAAGCGAAGGTGCCATGAATAGCTGTGGAGGTCGTTTGATCCATATGTTTTGCTGGTTACTATACTACTACTAACGTTGACCGTTTCATCTTGATGGCGAAACCGTTTTAGTTATCCGGAAATACGGATAAACCTAAACAGAGGTGCGCGATCTTTATGACTTTTTACCAACTCAACATCGACGACGATGGCCACCGACTCGAGTGTGTCCTCGATAACGTCGTCATGCACGCTTCCGCTCGATGCAACAATCGTACATAAGTACGGCATGGAGTTCCACGCACTCTTGGCCATGGATGGCCCCGGTGCCAAGAAGAAGAGCAAGATCACGGGGGTGGTATTCCACCCTGTCCGTCCATGGGTCGCGGCGGTCGAGTCCAAGGACTGTGGCGTTGTGTGGAACTACGAAACGAAGGAAGTGATCAAACGCTTCACGTTGCAGGTAAGCTTTCGCTTTTGTACACACGGATGACCGTCAGCTGTAGATCGGGGAGGACGTGCCCACCGCCGTCTCGGACGACACGACGGCGGTCGCGACGCCGACTGCTGTCGCGCTAACCAAGTCGATGGCATTGTCCACACCGTTTTCGCCCAAGCTGAGCAGCGGCAAGGCCAAATCCTCGTCCGTGCTTATGTTCTTCGACAGGGAGTCCATCGCGCACGTCTCGGGGATATCTCGAGGCATCGATTGCTTTGAGGAATGGCTCGTCATTCTGAGCTCGCAGCAGATTGCGTTTTGCGACATCAACGACGCGCAGTCGGTCCGTGTCACATATTTGTTTAACATCGTCTCATGCCTTGGTCGTGTAGAACCGTTGCATTACACCTGACGACCTCGGCCGCGCGCTGCCAAACTCGATCGAGGTCTTACCAGGGGGATTCTTGGCCATCGGTATATGTTATTGCATCTGACCTGGCTTGGCATGCATGCTTCCTAGGCCACGGATCGTACTTGCCCATTTATTTTGGGTGTCACGTTGCGCCTTGTCACAGAAAAGTTGACACTCTCACATGTTGTAGACAACATATCAATGATGGAATGATTGACATATATATATCTTGTTCGAATTTCTTTTCATCTCGTGTTGGGTTTCTTGTCCGCTTACACTTGAACCCGTTTTCAAGTTAAAGCAGCCAAACACCGTTTGGACTCACTATTGAGTCGTGTAGGTTGCAGCGACGGCAAAATTCGCATATGGAGTCCTCGGCTGTGGAAGGTGTGCCACGTCATAGACACAGGGGCTATCAAAGAGATCCCCCATATGCTCCTCGTGCCTTCATCTTCCTCTTCGACATCTTCGTCCCCCTCGACGGCGGCAATGCTCCACTGCTACTTGATAGCCGTCCATGTAGACGGCAAGGCCATCGTGTGGAGCATCACGCGCGTGTCCAGTGGCGACTTTCAGCAGTCGCGCGCGTGTGAATTCGACCTCAAAGACGCCAATAAGCGAGGAGGAGGAGCCATCAATACCACTGCCAACGTGGATGTGACAACGTGTGGGTATTACGAGCTCAAGCTGCTCTTGCAAGACAGTTTCTTGACGGCCGTGTCCAAGGATGGGAATGTACTTGTATGGGATATGTCGTTTCTTTGGTATGTTTCTTTCATATTTGGTGGAATGTGTGACATGGTTCAATCTCTTGGTGTCGTTCGTGTTGGGCTGTAGGTCCACGACCCCAACCAAAGAACCAAGGTAATAGTTATTATATATATATATATATATATATCGATTGTGTAAACGATCTTCTCTTGTGTAGAGTCACGTTTGTGGGCCTATTCCACACATTGACACCGTCTACAAAGCCCCTGCATGGCACGTTGCTGCTTGGATCGAGCAGACACAGCTACGTGTATCTGTCGACCTGTCACACATCCATGGTACGCTTATAAACAAACAAACTATGACAGTATATTCGTATGTACACATACCTACAGTACCTACCATCGCCATTGTGAAACGTTGTCACATGTATTCCTACTCTAATATTGTGCTTGTAGTACTATCAAATCGACAATAATAACCGTTGACTTCTTCGTAGCTCAACGTATCCGAGCTGCACAAGGGCAAAGTATGTCGCCTCGTGACTTCATTTCCGTTAACAGCAACAAACGAATGGCTGAGATCATTCGCTTGTAGGCCACCCAAGACCTCGAGATTGCCGCACACCGTGTGGACTTGGTCAAAGACGTCCGCACATTGCACTCGGTACGACAGCTTCATACAAAAAACTGTGACATGGTCAACTGGTTTACTTGCAGAAAATCTCAAAAAAGATCAAACTCATCTCGGTGTCGCAAAGCCCTCGGTGTGCCACCTTGCTTGTCGCGGCCACGAATTATGGTTCGACACATAAGTTTTACCCGTTTTGCACTGGAAATATATGTTGAGGAGATGATATATATATATATATATATATACTTCCGCAACGGGTATATACCGAGATGTACGTAGGCCTGCTGCTGTTCCACTTGCACGCGTACACTCCCCGCCAGTCGATGACATTTCTACCAAGGTAAAACCATCATACCTACAACTATTATAGCGTTGCATTTGTATCAGCAGCCATAGTGAATTTCATGTCCCAATCATATATATATATATATATATATATACATATCTACATCAACAACACTGAGTCAACCTGTACATACAGCTTGGCCTCGATTGTGCTCAATACCCCCACGCATCTCCGGTCCGTGCCGCTAGGAGATAAGGGAAAGAAGGAGCTTTATGCGTTGAAATACCCCAACAAGGACTCTGTGGGGCTCTCAATCAAGCACCCGTCAGCCAAGTACTACGTGGCGGTCGTAACTGGGTCTCATTACGAGGTAGTAGTAGCTATTTCCTTGTATCATTTGGCTGTGTATATTAACTCTATGATTGTTTGTCGCCAATTAGATCGTCCATATGGATGCCACTGGGTCCTGCCACACGGTACGCCACCATATTCTACAAAGGTTTTCGTGAGATTATAGTTAGTGTGATTGCTGGGCAAGTTTGCCGGCAACGGATAACTATCTGCCTTGGCCTTTTGACGAATATGTGCCGAAAGTCAAAGTAAATTGGACGGGGGGTTTGCACTCTTGACCATACTTCCTTGTGTGGCGGATAGATCGCTTCGGGACCGGGGGTTGGTGTGGCGTGGCACAGCAAGCTGCTCCGATTTGCCGTGTTGGTCGTACGTACATGCGACACAGTTTGAATAAATATGAGGGGATAACATGCCGATTGATATTCGATGCGGATGTGAAATCTCTACCTAGCCAGACGAAGATGACGTGGCAAAACGAGGTCGCCCGGCCGCCATGTCCACCGACAGCCCCCGTAAAAAGCTCGGGGTCTTCTTTGGAAAGGCCGACGAGGTGCCGGCGGCAACGGCGGGCGGTCCCGCGCTACCGCCCTTTTTCAAGCATGACGTGGACCTGCGACCGCATGCGCTTGCGGTGTATGACGTGGACGCGTCCACTGGCAACTGCACTCGACTGGTACAACAATCTCTCTCATATCTAAGCAGTATATCTTGGATTTTTGATCTATTCTGCTCTTTTGTGGGGGGTGATCTCTATCTAGCGATATCTATGTGTCTGAAGCGAAGATGCATGGTATGTGATTGACTGGTTGTATGTAGGTGGACAAACTCACATCTGGGCAGCCCCGCCATTGGATCGTCCATGCCTTCACCGGTCCGTTGCTCGGCCTTGTGCGCTGCGTGATGCCAGATGACGGAGCTCTCAAACCCTCTAAAGCCACCACGATGTCGACAGTGTCCGACAGCACATCTATCGTCACGGGGTCGTCCATCACGACGGGGGAAGCCACCACGGGGGGCATGCACATGACGCTCGAGTTCTACGAATGGGGGGGAGCTGAAGATATCGCTGGGAAATCGTCAGTGTCAACGGCGCTCCACAAGGTAAGCCATGGTGGGTTCTGTTGAAAGAATGGATGGATGGATGGTTGGTTGGTCGTTTGAACGTTGTTTATATGTGGCTAGGTCGGGCCTGTATTGGGCGGCCCGCTGCTTGTAGAATGGGAACACTCTGGCAAGTACGCGGTGCTGGTGTACCCAACCAAGTGCCACGTCATCAAGTGGGAAGGTCACTCGTCCAAGCTGCTTCCATTGCATGAGATCTCCACCCCGCGACCTGTGCAGTCAGTCTTGTGGGTACATCACGCCCTCTTTACGGCCACCGAGGACGAGGTAACTATGTATATATATATATATTATACACATAGTATATATATATATATATATGGGTTGACATACACATGGATCGCTCAATCGATTGTTTGCTTGTTTGCGATATTAGATCAAGTGTTATTTCATCTGTGGCAGCCGCACGTTTTCGTTTGTGATTGCAAGTACGACCTCCTGCTTTGACGGCCAAGAAGAGATGGACCATACCGTCAACTTGGCCGACTTCCCCGCGGCACAGCGGCACCCTGGAGGTCCGTTTATGCTCCTGGGGGTGTTCCAAGAGAAATTGCTTTGTGGTGGAATCATGCATCAGAGGTAAGCAGCTAGCTAGGTAGCGCTACAGTCCGAGTATGGTGTCGATGGTTAGTTATCATGTGATTTTTTCAAGTGTCTTTTGTGGTTGAATAATCACAATGTTTCTAACGTTATCGTCGTTTTGGGTATATGTAGCATGTACTCTGTCACATTAAAGCACCCGGTGCTCCAGTTTTGCATGTTTGTGGCCCAAGGCGTGCCCAAGCGAGCGCTGGAGGTTGTCCCAATGATCTCGGCGGACCTTTTGGATTGGATGGCGACTTTCCTCGAGGTATTTGATATCAATATGGTTGGGCTATGTGTTTGAAAAATGGATGGCTGGCAGGCGTTTGGGTTTGCCGCAGACGCGTTGGACGTCCCCGGCACGTCGTCGCATGTAAAAGCGAGCATTTGCATCAAGCACATGCTCGTGCACACGTTAGCAGACATGCTGCCATCGTTGGTGGCCAGTGTTGCTACCGATAGCGCCGATATGATGGTACAGACTGCTATGTATATATCTATATTTCTAGTGTTCTGGTGGAGATTGATGATATACATGGGGACTTGATGCAGGGCACGTCGTTAATCCAACGCGCATGTGCTGCGTTGTGTCGCGGCGGTCAGGAGGCGGCGGTGGCGGCGCTGCTTCCAACGTGCATGCAAATGAACAAGTGGAACGATGCCCTGGTCATGGCCATGCTGGTCCAGGACAGGGCGACCATGGCGCAAGTGCTGGCGTCCAAGGAAGAACTGAGCCATGCGCTGCACACGTCCAACAAGAATGCCGACGTCGAAGCGCAGTGGAACCAACAGATGGACGCGCATGGACAGATCCGCCCCGCGCGGTTTGCCGGCACGTGGATGCAACGTTAGTTTAGATATGACGACCTTGCCGATGCAGCTACATACATGCAGTAACAACTAACCACAGCTACGACTAGTAGTACTATCGTTACCATCATACCTAACGTTCACTGTTACTAGTAATGCCACACCAGCAGTACTAGTACTCATATTGTGTAAGCTAAGCTGGTGCTGCCTAGACTTCTGGTGTGACTATTTTGCATGGCAACCATCACGATAGTATATTCCATCATGTTGTTACATGCGTTGTTGTTGTTGACAGGGCACCTAGTTAGCCCCAAATATCGCGGACGTAGCGCTGCCGAAGCGCCAAGTCCTTCCACGCGACCTCCGCCTCTTGATGCGTCATGTGTCCATGCTCCACAAACACTTGGACGAGGGCTGCGTGCACGTCCTTGGCCATATGCATGCCATCGCCGCACACGTACACGTACCCGCCTTGGCGGGCGACCAAATCGTACACGGCCGCTCCGTGCTCTGCCACGTCATGTTGCACATAATGCTTGGCCTCCTGGAATAATCACAAACGGCACTGTCGGGATACTTATATATATATATATATATATATAAATAAATAAATCAAATCATGGTGTCTAATGATTTGAGACGAGACGGATATATATATATCTTGTTTGTAGTACCTGCTCCCGAGACGCTGCCACGTGCAAGTGGGTGAGCACCCCCTCGTGAATAAACGAGTCAAGGTGTCGTTGAAACAAAAAGTCTTGGTGGCGGTGCCGACAGCCAAAAAATAAGTCAATTTGGCCCAATTCAAATGCATGTTCGACCAATTCCACGGCGTGGTTGCCGCGCCATGTGCCGCAACTTTCGCTGTCGTCCACGTGTTTGAGTCGCTACGTACACAATAGATTAACTCGCCATTCAAAACTGGTCTTATCGGCGACACAATCGATAAAGAGCACGGATGTTAGTCACGTACTTGGAGCTGGCGGTGCTGCAAGAACCCTACAAAGGGTGTGACGCCCGTGCCCGGGCCAATCAAAATCAACGGATACGACGGGTTGGCTGGCAGGGTGAAGTCCTTGGTCGGGTGGTGGAAGATGGGAATTTGAACGGCCACTGCAGCGTTGACTGGAGTTGTTTGGGGGTGCAAAAGCGGCCGAGCCAACGCGTGGAGCCACGACGTACACAGGCCCCGACGACGGAGAAGCCGACTGGTAGTAGTACCCCCTTGAACAACTGGCAAATCATATTCGACGATCGTAAAGGCAATGTGCACTTTGTGGGGCTGGGATGAAAGGGGCGACGACGCGAGCGAGTAGTACCGAGGACTGAGTGTCGGCAGCAGCGATAGCACGGACGCCAGTGGGGGGCGGCACGCCGGAAACAGACGCAAAATGTCCACCACACTCAAGCGTTGCGATTCCACAAAGTTCTATACCATGCCTTGAGTGGACAACAGCGCCAGGATGGAATACTCGTACGTCATAGATATATATATATATATACCCATACAAAGCTACTAAAACATGACTTATATATAATATATATATATATATCCATACAAAGCTAGTTAACGATGACTTACCTGAAAGTGCAACGGGCCATCCTTGCTACTTAGATACAAGAGCGCTCGCTGGTCGGTCGAGTCGACGTCGCAGTACGTGGCTAGCGCCCGCAGTGTGGATTTTTTCACCTGTGCTTCAAGGTCGTAGTGGTGGGTCAGCAGCTGAAACAGCGATCTTGTCGGAAGGTTGCTACTGCTGCCACTGCTCTTGCTGGCGGCGTTCTTCTTGATGCTCTGGACCGTACACCCGATATGCAAGTCGTCGGTGGCGATGCCGAGCCGGCGGACAAAGTACGCCACAACGTCGGGGTTGTTGGGGCAGCGTACGCCGATCGAGTCTCCCGGTACGTACGTCATGTCTATTGATATATATATAAAAATATATATTCTGACTGGTGCAATAAACACCAATGTGACAAGCAACACGTACCCATGCCGGCGGTGTCAAGTTCGAGCCAAAGCACGACGCGGTCACTCGGAATGGAGCTGGTGAGATATTTGGCTTTGGTAATCGTCGCCATAAAGTCACCCGACGTTCCCACGCTCTGGTGAGTTGGCGGGTGGAATGTTGTGTTGTCAAACGTGACCGACACAGTGGCGGGTTGGAGCCGCGGCAGGCGGCTGGCGTCCACTACATCCGGGGGCCCGGAAGGAAACATTGTGTGGTACGCGGTCAAGAACGTCACCTCGTCCAACGACATGTAGTCCGACGGGGGAGGTTTGGGGGTGCTTTCAGCAGGGGGAGAAGACGGGGTGGTCGTTAAATCGAGGGAAATCGCAGCTGGAGCGACGGTGGCGGTCGTTAACTCGAGGGAAATCGCAGCAGCTGGAGCGACGGCCGTGGTAGTCGTTGTTCCCACGAGGGTACTCCACAATCCCATCACATAAGGCTCGACAGAATCTTCCAACCCCATCGCTTCGTCGGCACAGCCTAACGAGTCAAGAAATAGATTCAAAACGGTATCTAATATGGCTTGTTTTTTTAAAAATATTTTTAAAAAATAATATTTTTGGGGCAAAGTTACGTACCAATGTCGTACACGCATTCGCCGCCCAATTCTTTGAGGCGGCGGTGGATGCCCTTGCCCATATAACTACGTGCAATCATGATATATATACAATAGTTGAAAATACTAAGAGGATATATATATATATTGTACGTACCAAAACTTGTCGTAGTTGGTGTCGCCCAATGCGAGTACTGTAAACCGCACATGCGCCAGCAACGTGGGCGGATGCGCCTTCTTTTTCAGAAAACGCCAAAACTTTTCCGCGTTGGTGGGGGGGTCGCCGTTGCCCGTCGTACTGCACACAATCACCACGTGCGTCGGGGCTGTTAAGCCCAAAATGCCGCTCTATATATATATATATATACACAAAGCACAATTTTACGTTAGAATATGGTCAAGCCGATTCGAAATTTGGAAGAGCAGCAGCACCAAGTCGACCGACCAATCAAAACCCAAAACATGATTCAAGTAGCCAATCAAATTTTCGCTTCCACGATTCAACATCAAGTTAGGGTGACATTGGTCCATTTTTGCACTCAAAATTAGACGCAGTACAAACCATCGATCGATGGATTTACCTAATCAGCACACAAATCCATATTTTGGCTGAAAGGACCATACAAATCAAATAGATTTAAAGATAAAATATATATTTAAAAATATAATAAAACATAAAATATAATTAAAATCAAAACCTCTCAAGATATGACGACTTGGTAGATACCTTTTCAAACGCATTGAGCGGACTCAAAGACGTCGGAACGTGGTGGTCGGCCGCGTCGGTTTGGATGCGCTACATAGTTGTACTCGCTGTGAGAATATGTTTACAAAAATATTATTTTTCCACAATATATTACAATTCGTGAAGAACGGATGGACGCTTGCTTACCTTGGCAATCGATTCCGCACAACCAGTTTGCGATCCATAATAAATGTGCAAATGGTCAATGCTGCCGAGCTTGGTACTGCTGCTGTTTTCATTTGGTTGGTCGTCTTGTGTTGGGTCGAGTGTGTTGGCGATTGGATGGCTGTCGTTCGTTGTGACTTGGTTTGCTTCAGGACCAACCAGTGATGCAATACCATTCATGTCCTAAAAGCAATTGTGATCAATCATTGAGCTACGATATGCAAGAGCCTATAAAAGAGGTGACCGTAGAAGCGAGCATTTCCCAGTGGCCATGCAGCCACGGTTCCACAGAGTCTTCCAACCCCATTGCTTCGTCCGCACAACCTAATTCAAATCATGCCGTGACTAACTATTAGAGAGTGTCGACGAACTAATAACTAGTAAGTGTCTACGAGTTGTACCAATGGCGTAGTAGCTGTGGCCGCCCAATTCGCCCAGTCGCCGTTGGATGCTCTTGCCCATGTAGCTACAGCCCGAAAGTTAGTACCTATCTTACTCGTGACAAAAAGGAGAGTATCTTCATGTACCAGAACTTGTCGTAATTGGTGTCGCCCAACGCCAGCACGGTGAAGCGAACGTGCTGCAACAATGTCGTCGGGTGAACTTTGCGTTTCAGGAACCGCCAGAATTTCTCCGCGTTGGTCGGCGGGTCGCCGTTGCCCGTGGTGGAGCACACGACAAACACCGTCGCACTTGGCTGTGTCAGCACACCCGACTAGTAGACACATCCGCCTCGTCAAGACGACTCAACTTCAGGCAAGGCTTACCTTTTCAAACTCGTTCAACGTGTGCAATGCCACCGTCATGTGGCGCTCCAACGCATCCGATTGCACGCGCTACACATGCAATGTTGATGCACACCACCAAAATGGCATGGTGTTGCGTACCTTGGCAATGGACTCGGCACAGCCAGTCTGCGACCCGTAGAACACATACAAGTGCGGCGACGTGTCCACCATTATTGAGGTTGTTGAAAATGAGCCCATGGGAGTTCCGCGGGTTGGATTATCCGGATTACCGTGTCCTTCCGGACGAATTTTCTGGGCACGTGGATGGCACGGTGCTGATTGGTCGTTCAAACCTGTATCAATTGATTATCAAAGTCAAACCTGCAGCATTTAATTCACATTGCAATTCACATGTCCAACTATGATGCGATGGCTGGTTGGACGTGTGAACTAGCTGTAAGCTATCACGGGGTATGAGAAAGGGTGCTTTACACTTGCAAGTCAATACATATAGACGACCGACCGATCAGTCTCCTCTACTCCACGAACAACGTTAGAGTTTACCACATTGGTTGTGAAATGAAAAAATCGAATCGGAATATGAGATATTACTTCGTTAGTATTGGATGGATGCACTGAAATATGGAATCGCGCTGGAGTTCTGATTGGTTGAATTTCATTGAGAGGGTTTTTATTGGCTAATAATTTTGAGCTCATCTGAGGTAGCCAATCAAAGCGATTTAAATTCCAACGAGACAACACGAAATTTCGGGGTTTCGGGGTTTCTTCACTCGAAAGCACAATACTAACGGTACTATTTTAATAAATGATACTTCGAAGTATTATTTTGACCAATTCTCCAACAACTAATTATTTTGACGGTAGTATGTTGTGAACCACCGTGCATGACATTTGTGTCGTTCGTTCCAGCGTCGACATCGATGTTCTCACGAGCGATCCGTCGAGTGGCGGTGACCGGTCCCAAGTTCACCCGAGGAAAGTACTCCATCCGCGTGTCCAAGGAGAAGGACGTGAGCTTCGCCACTGCGCATGGTACGTCCACCCACCTACGTCCCTTGGCTCACTGTGGTTGACTGTAGTCGACGACCCATTCCACCACTTCGTCCTCAACGGATGCTGGGGTCTCACCGCGCTGGCCACGTCCACCGCGTTCTACCAGTTTGTCACAAACTTGCACACAGTCCCCATCACAGGACGAACGCAGGTCGTTGTGTTCAATCGCGAAGACGACACGGTACCTACCACCTTCTAATTGACGCAACCTCTCTCCATTGTTCACCCGACCATGGTCTTCATGCATTAGGAGATGGGCAACCAACATGCCAAGGAAGCCCTGGCCGGCAAAACCCTCGTGAACAGCGGCCCTCGCTTCAAGATGGTCAAGGACGTTGCCACGTAAGAAGCAACTCATCGATTCCTCGCCCACTTCCTTCCATGTTGTAGTCGTCTTGTGGCGGTGGCTGACAAGATCTTCGAGCCTGGATTCCAGTGGCAGATTTACGTAGTGCAGGACCCCCAGATCAACGCATGCTGTTTTATGGGTATGCCTCCAACTAAATCCCCCGCCTCGCACCATATTCTCGATGCCCCCTTGTACCCATATTCATTTATCATTACTATTCCATATATTTAAAAATATATATTATACATATATTGATAATATATGCATCAACTTTTTTTATGTGTATAAATAAATACGTTATAAATATATACATATACGTAGCTGCATGATCTTTTACGCATATAGATAAATATATACTAGTAGTATATTACATAAATATATACATATATAGATGCACCATTTGATGCATGTATAAATAAATATATACATATATAGATGCCTCATCCTCTTCCTGTATATTTATTTGTATGTAGGGGGCAAGATGTTTGTGTACACTGGGCTGCTGGACTTTATCGACGCCATGGTGGAGCAGGGTATTTGCTCCAACAAGTACAACGCCCTCGCCACCGTCCTCGGCCATGAGATTGCTCACGCGCTGGCGCGGCACACGGCTGAAACGCTGAGCTACCTCCCCGTTCTCATCGCGTTGTCGCTGCTGACTGTGGACAGCGAGCTCATTGCGTCGATTTTCACCTACTTTTGCCAACTTCCATTCAGTCGTCTCCATGAAACCGAAGCCGATCACATTGGATTGATGCTCATGGCCGCGGCGTGCTACGACCCGTCCGAGGTATTGTCCGATTTTACCCAACTTTTTTTTTTTTTGGACTTTTGCGCTGATTCCGCCAAATCGATCGATCGATTCATTTTATGGACATTTTTTGTATGTAAAATCATCCAGTGGCACACTAATTTACGTCACACACGATGAATTCGATTTGATTGGCCACTTGATTCGTGATCTGGGTTTTGATTGGTCGATTTTCGATCGTCTGCTGATGTGGTGCTGTTCATTCGATTGAGCCCCCCCACACTCCAATTTCGTACCGACTTGACGATATATATACATGATATTTGGAGACAATCGTGATGATATATATATATGATATTTGGAGACAACCGCGATGAATATATTTGTTGGGATGTCTAGGCGCCCAAGTTTTGGGAAGGCATGAAGCTTGTGAACGAGGAAGGGATCGATTGGTTCTCGACCCATCCAGCCGACGACAAGCGGCAGAAACACCTGGAGCAGCTGACGGCCGAGGCGATCGCGTACCAGGACAAGGCGTCGTGGTGCGGGGACATGCAGTCCAAAGTGTCGCAGCTCATCTACAGACGCATCACGCGGCGCCGCGCCACGGCTGGCACGACCCACTCGGCGGAAATGGCCGCCATGTGGGATGGCATGCAAGCCACAACCAACCAACCCCCGCCGCCACCGCCTGCTACGACTATCCCAGTGCCATAGCCATGTCGTCGTCGTTCGAGAAGAAGTTGCCGAGCAATTACAGCACTATATAGTATGCAGGTGCAAGTGTCGACGTTGAATCATGACGACATGGACCGACTTGTATTGTGAGTTGGCTATAAACTTTCAAAATTCGCGTGGTTTGTCGAATCAATATATTGAATCACGCCAGAGTTCTGATTGGTTGAATATACTTGTCCTTTCTGTCATATGATTGGACGAAACTTTGGTAAGGCTGTAAGAGCCAATCAAATCCATTCCAAAGTACTAGAGCGTCGATTCGTGATTCTTCGATGGGTCTGGAAATTTGTACCGAATCCACAATACTTAGTGCCATGACATGTTGGCAAGGTTGTATAGAGTTGAGTGTAGAGCATAGCCTTGACGATCATGCTTTACTCACACAAGATGGAACTCGTTCAAGCTACAAGATGATGATTGTGTGTTCTACGCCGGACCTTCGAAAGTTCATACAAAACTGAGTTGAAGAGGTACATATCTTTGAGACTGCAATGCATCATTCAATCTTTTTAGCCAATCATATTTCAACCTTAATTCTTTATAGCCAATCATACTCCTTCGCTAGATAGTTGGCGATTTCATCAATTCCCCAAAATTTGGCAAATTTTGAGGAAAAGGACAATCCCTTATCCTGTGGAAGCAGATATCACCGATATATATATCCTTAATGAGGGGGGTTGAAATCGACACGTTTTCCCCCGATCATAACGTTAGGTTCAATTTCATGTGGCAACAAAGCAAAGAAAACGTTCGAAATAGAATCAAAACAGTATCACATATCTTGACCTTGGCTTCGTAATAAGGACTGTGACGCCGATACACTATACTACTGCACATGTGTGATGTGAAACGTGATGTTTACTTTTTCAATTGCGACAGTTGCTGCTGCTGCGCCGACGGCCATTGCCCTGTCTCCATGAACACGTACTTGTCGGTTTGGGTGAACGTCGGCCGCACGACGTCCTTGAACTTGCCCACTTTGATGCGCTTGAGCAGCTCATCCGAGCTCTTCTTCAGCGCATCCTCAAACCCTTCCACGGCCGTGTTGAAGTTTTCTTTCTGCAAATCCAACTCGTCCCATGTCCAATCCGCCTTGCGCTTGCGGTGGTGTGGGAGCAGCGACGCCGTGTCCGCCTGTCCCAGCTCTTCGTCGCGCTTTTCCATTTCAGGGTCCTCTCGCGTCCGAAGCAGAATAGGGATGTGGGATGGATCGGGAAGCGACATTCGCGGCGCACACACCCAATGATGCAAGCTCTCCGGCAGCAAGCTGTCGTCGTCGTCCTTGGACCCCATGATGTTCTCCAACTGCTTCGCGACTACCTGGAACTTGCTCAAGAACTCTGGCCACTGGGTCAACGGGTGCCATGCCATCAGCTGCTCCAGTGTCTGGATGGTATGCCGAAGGTGGTCGGCGCGCGATCGGACGGACTGCAGTGTCCGCGCTTGGTCCGACTGTACCCCAGACATCGCACAAATATGTGAATGATCCTGCCGTTAGTTGGAAAACAACCAGATTTAGGCCAATCAGCATCGAGACGAGGAATTACCTCCAAATATATTATTGATTTGTACTAAAGTATATACTTCGAAGTAAATAACGACATATTGTATTAGAATCTACTATTAATATTAATAGTAATTTAACATTTTTCGATTTGATTATTCGTACCACGTTATGCAAAAATTTGGTGTTTTTAACGTGTTTTTATAGAACCTGGGAAAAAAAGTCGGCAAGTTTGTTCCATTGCAATTGTGCAACACGGAATGTCACCGGCGACAGCGGCAGCGGCAGTTCGAACTCCCATGTCAAACCAATGTGCATCTGCAGAGCATGAAGCCATCGAGGTCCGCGAGGAGAAGCTTCCAGTCGCCTGCTGCGCCAAGTTTGGAAGGACAAGGTTTCTTTGTCAGCGAAGTGCCAACGCGTTCTACTTTCCCCATGTGTTGCACGTTGGGCCAAACTTGGGATGCATGTTGATCACGTACTCCATTATCCTTGCTCCAACCCTCATCTTCGTTTTCGCGAACAGCTTGGCATCCTGGGTGTCCGTGCTCCTCATCGTGTCCATTGCGCTCACGTTTCTGTCGTTTTCCATGGTGGCATGCAGTGACCCCGGGGTCATCCGCGAGCATTACGTCAATGCTGTCGGTGACGACGCGGGCATTCTCTGCGGTACGCTTGTGTTGCCCCTCTCTCTTTTTGTGACGTTGATGGACGTAGCGCATTGCCAAATTCGTCGGCCTCTCAATGCGATCCATTGCTACGAGTGCGAAGTGTGCATTGATGGGGTGGGTGGTTGACTCTTCCTGTTGCTCTTTCGTGCTTCTCATGATCAACGAACGATACTCTGTAGATGGACCACCATTGCCCGTGGACCGGCAAGTGCATTGGCAAGAAGACGCTGTATTGGTTCTACCTGTTTCTGTGGATGATCTGCATCCACATGACGTTTGGCATTGGCACCGTCGTGTATTATTGTATTGGTGGTCGCACGTCATAGTATAACACGCACAGTGTCTTGAATTGTTATAACAACAACCTGATGGGGCGAGTATGGATCCGGCGAAAGTGATACTAAGACTTCACTTTACAGCAAATGGTGCAATGTGTCGAATGAAGAAGTCGTCGAACCTGAACTTACACACATGATCCAATGCGAGGCCAAAGTTGCAGCATGTTGATTTAATGGAGTTGCACTCACGGACTGTAAACGTGCTTCGTTAACACAAGTGAGGAGGAGACCATTGAATACACCACAGCTAACGCTCGACCTACTGTACGTACATTGTACAGAGGCATACAGTACCTGGCAGGTTGAGCCACCAACATAACCATCCATGAATATTGCTCCAGTACGAATTGTGAAGATCTGAGAGTATAGTCGAAAAGAGGAGGCATCCGTTCTCCGAGTAATAAGGGGTTTTACAGTACTGTACTACGTAGTATTGTGCTTTTCACTCGTTTTGGCTATTCACATCATAAACATCGACCCCAGTGTTTTAGATAATCCGCACCGAGATTTAGGATGTCACATTTCGTTACAGAATGGTATAGGGAGGTCATTTATGCAACTCACTCGCTTTTGCACGTTTGAAAAGTGCAAATCGAAGTTATATCTGCTATTCTCGGGACCAAGTTGCACAATTCACTGGTCATCATGAACAACTTTTGATAATATAAATGACACATTGCGCCGAAGTTCTACCGTACAGCGATGTACGTATGGTGCTACATCGTAGAAAACCACGCCATCTTCTTGTTCCATCGCATAGTACATGCAGGTAGCATGTACTACGTGATGGAATAACAGCCAAGGTGTTTTGGTCACTTCAGCTCACATGTGATTATTATTGCTCAGAGGGCTCCTCTGGATACCACGCCATAAAATTATGCCAAAACTCGAAATGAGATTTTACAAAATTTATCCAATATACAAACGCAATACAAAATGAAGAGATGGTGAAACCGTCTGGATTCATCCGGATTCAAACTTGCGCGCCAAAACGATGCTCACGACCATGATGATCCTGCATCGTCGGCGGCGCCTCAAGCGACGTCGCATGAAGTTGATGTCATACCTGGTCTACCACTACTCCGCCTACCTCTTGAAGACGTCAAAGCGGGTCTCCATCTTGTCGGGGGCTTTGTGGGTTGCCGAAATACTTCAAGGAAACGAGGATGCCTTCGAGGAGACATGTCGAATGTCCCGTGATGCGTATGGTGGACTGCTGCACGATCTCGTCCGAAGTGGTGGTCCAAGGGCCCATCTGTGTGCTGTGGGGTTGCTGCGGTTTTTGAAAAGCGCCGTTTTGACAGAACATTGATGTTGAAGTGGTCACATGGACTGTCTTTGCATGAGAAATTGACCATTTTGGTCCATTTTTTTATGCCATAATTCGTGAACTTTCTTGCTATCATTTTGTAATATTTCCTTTGGATTTTGTGGTATCCAGACGAACAACTTCGCGACTTTGTCATATCACCATTTTATGGAGATTTTTGTCATTTTATGCCATAATTCGTGGCATCCAGAGGAGCCCTTAGGCATTTATAAAACCCCAGTGAATTAGCTAAAACACCAGGTATTTATTCAACTTTGTAACACAGTAGCAGAAGTACCACTCTTTTAGCCACGGAAAGCCGACGCCAAAACAAGTGCAAAGCACAATAATACTAGTATTAGCTTTAGACCGGGTCTGGATGCCACAAAAAATGGCATAAAATGGCCGTTTTTCGAAGAAAAGTTGCCAAAATCGAAATATTCCATCTTTCGAGATTTTGTGCGACTGCATGCCACCAAAACTCAGAATTTTATGGTACAATTTTCTTGAGAATTGGGTGTTTTATGGAGGTTTGTGTTCACGTTGAAGTCTTGCACTTCACTTCAATCGGATATCGAATAACTTTTCCATATTTCACTGGCATCCAGACAACTTTGCATATAACTACATTTCCCCTTTTTTCATGGGATATGAGACTTTGGGAGTTTTTTGCAGACTTGCCAAAACGGTTGAAGGGCATAAAGGGCTGGTCTGGATGCCAACCCATAAAATCGTGCCATAAATCGATTTGGCAAGTCTGTAAATTTTTCCCAAGGAGAAAAGAAGTAATATCCCCAAAGTTGTCTGGATACCAGCTGAATTTTAGAAAAAATATTCGATTTCCGATTGACAGTGAAGTGCAAGACTTCAACGTGTGAAGCCAAACCTCCATAAAACACCCGATTCTCAAGAAAATTGCGGCATAAAATTCTGAGTTTTGGTGGCATGCAGCACAAAATCTGCAACGGAAGAAGTACTACTGGTACTCTGTGCTTTATTATAAGTATTAATAGTAGAAATTATAATAGAGCACATAGTAGTAATCGCTAGTTAGCCAAGTCGAAGTACTCCGTAGTACTACTCTGTGCTGCATTATAATTTCCTCAAATGTACACTATAATAAAGCACAGAGTACAGTACTGTAGTGCTACGTAGTACTAAGGGCGGGTCTGGATGCCACGAAAAATGGAATAAAATGGCCGTTTTTCGAAGGCAAGTTGCCAAAATTGAAATATTCCATTTTTCGAGATTTTGTGCGTCTGGATGCCACCAAAGTTCAAAATTTTATGCCAAAAATTTCTTCAGAATCGGGTGTTGTATGCTACTTCAATCGGAAATCGAATATTTCTTCCAAAATTCAGCTGATATCCAGAGATACTTCTTTTCTCCTTTCTTTCATGGAATACTATTACGTACGTAGTGTATGAGACTTTGGGAAATTTTTGCAGACTTGCCAAAACGGATTATGGCATAATTTTATGAGGTGACATCCAGACCAGACGGGCCGTTTGGGCCCGTGTGAATGCCACCTAATACTGTAGAGACATTTAGCAAACCCGTAATTTGAAATTACCGAAATCAAACTTCGGGTTACTCACAGATACGAACTTCGTGAACGCCAAATTCCGCTCGGAATTTGGCTCAAATATACGAAATCGCATGACCATTCCGTATATTTGAGCGTCAAATTACCGAAATGTCTAAGCCAATCAAAATACATCAAAATGCAATGGGTGGTGGATTGTGCTTGCTGGACGTAATAGATGAACTGTTCATACATTTACTTCGAAGTCACTCCAATGGTTGACCCACAACCTCGACCACCAGCCAAGTACGTTGCATGGAGGGAAGACCTGGAGGTTGCCCTCCTGCG